CGCTGTGTAGTGTGTAGCGTTGAAGCGGGGTGTGGAGGGGGTGTAGAAAGAGGGGCTAAGTTCCCCTGGCTGGGGAGGTGGTTAAGCTCCCTCTCGATGGATGAGGTCTCTTCCACCAAAAGCTGTCACGTTTTTATTGTAAAATGGGAAGATTTCGTTAACTTTTACGTCGTCATCTTTCAATTTTCCGGTAAGGAAAATTACATAGAAAGGAAAAAACAATCTCTGCAGGTACTTCTCGATTTACACGAGGGTTACGTTCTTGAAGAGGTCGTGTAAATCAAATTTCATGCAGAAAAACAGTGAGTGAGAGGCGTCTGAGGCAAGACGGGCGTGCGCATCAGCCCCGTTTATACAACCCGCTTGTACACAACCCGCTTGTTTATACACGCTTACAACTTATTGTACAACGTATGCGTGTTATTGTGAATGAAACGTGTAAATTAAATATTTTGGGGGGATTTTGGACCTCGTGTTAATTCGAAAACTGGCAAAAAAAAGACACTCGCAATACTGAGAGTTTTTACAGGGTGCAGCGGACGAGCGATTAGAGAGCTTGGCTTCTGTCCTATTAATTGCTGGTTTACGCCTGAGGTATCATCAGTCCACCCAGCTGCGAGTGAGTACCTAACTTTACAGTTTGGGGAAATAAATGCAGCCGAGTGCAGTACCTACTTGTGTACAGTACAGCAGGGCTCAGTAGTATATATTGTGGTATATCTACACAGCCCCTGTGGGACCTCTGGTGGGACCCACTGCTATTGAGAAAACAAATGGAAGAGCAGCAGAGTTAAGGGTAGACAGTAAAGCCGCTCACTTAACCTACGTACAATCTGAAGACGGAAGGAGGCTGAATTCGTCACCAGCGAGTGTAGCACAAATTTTCATCCTCACTAAACTAAACTTACCTAAACTAAGCAAACAAACTATAATTTTTAAATCTAACCTAACCTAACTTACTCTAATTAAACCTAAACAAACATTTGTTTGATCTAACTTAACCAGATATTAGGAGGAGTAAAGGAACTTGTTCTGGTGGGAACATGTGTGGAAATAGGCTTGAGTGGTCGCCCTGCCCTGGCAATTCACCATGGAGCAGGTGTTGTTCCAATTGTACATGACACTATACACATGTAGCCCGGATAGCTCAGTCGGTAGAGCATTAGGCTTTTAACCTAAGGGTCCAGGGTTCAAGTCCCTGTTCGGGCTATGGTTTTAATAAGTTAGGTAAGTGTGATTAATGTGCGTTTGTGTTAAGAAGTGTGTATGGTGTGTAACATTCAACGTCACAATACCGAACTAATGGGGTCTGATACACACCCTTTGTGACCTCTGCTCTGTTATCATTTGTTCTACAGCTCAAAGGGTGAGTAGGGGGTGCACAATAAACTAGCTAACCCCCACCCCTCCTCTCCTTGCCAATTCCAAAATTTAACAACAAACTTGTCACACGATTTACCCGAACTTTGCTCAACCCAATCTGACCTAACGAGGTATTAGGGCCTGATGATAGATGGCCCCTTGCTTGGCCACTCGCCCATGGCCAACAATAACGGTCCCGTAACTGGAGGGTTATGTGGTGACTGATCTGTGTGTGTGGTGACTGATCTGTGTGTGGTGACTGATCTGTGTGTGTGGTGACTGATCTGTGTGGTGACTGATCTGTGTGTGTGGTGACTGATCTGTGTGATGACCGATCTGTGTGGCGACCGATCTGTGTGGGTGACTGATCTGTGTGGTGACTGATCTGTGTGTGGTGACTGATCCGTGTGGTGACTGATCTGTGCGTGGTGACTGATCTGTGTGGTGATTGATCTGTGTGTGTGTGGTGACTGATCTGTGTGTGGTGACTGATCTGTGTGTGGTGACTGAGCCGTGTGTGTGACGATCTAAAAAGACTGATCTGTGCAGACTGATCTGTGTGTGGTGACTGATCTGTGTGTGGTGACTGATTCGTGTGTGACCGATCTGTGTGGTGACCGATCTGTGTGGTGACTGAGCGTGGTGACTGATCTGTGTGTGGTGACTGATCTGTGGTGACCGATCTGTGTGGTGGTGACTGATCTGTGTGTGGTGACTGATCTGTGTGTAAGACCGATCTGTGTGTGGTGACTGAGTCAGTGGTGACTGATCTGTGTGTGTGGTGAGACTGATCTGTGTGTGGTGACTGATCTGTGTGTGGTGACTGATCTGTGTGTGGTGACTGAGCCAAAAGGGTGTGATTGATCTGTGTGTGGTGATTGATCCGTGTAAGACCGATCTGTGTGTGGGTGACTGAGCTGTGTGTGTGGTGACTGATCTGTGTGTGTGGTGACTGATCTGTGTGTGTGGTGACTGATCTGTGTGTGTGGTGACTGATCTGTGTGTGTGGTGACTGAGCTGTGTGTGTGGTGACTGATCTGTGTGTGTGGTGACTGATCTGTGTGTGTGGTGACTGATCTGTGTGTGTGGTTCAAGAGTTAGGATCACAGTTTCTCTCTTCAAGTTAAATAACGTTTGGTCTTTGATCTGTACTTGGTGGAGGGGAGGGAGGAGTCTTGCTAATTGACTATCCAAGTTACACAACAAAATCCGGCACTTCTCAGCCTGGTACGTGACCGATCGCCCAAGCGGCTAACAAGCCGATCAGTGGCGAAGAGGATAAAAGTAAAAGTAATAGTATACTTATCACACTTAATCTGGCTTCGTAGCTACATATCACAGTAAAGCCAGATTACAGTGTGACTCTTAATGCCCTCTTCACACTTAGTTCAGCTCGGTGTAGGTCGGGATTTAGTATGATAATTAAAGTATATGTATTTGTGTAAGTTTGTACAAACAGTAAACTTCAGAGAAGACGGTGTGCTAGGGTATTACATAACTGAGGCAGCTTATCAGTGTGCCACTTGACCGTGATCACACACACACACCTTTTATCAGCTTCCAGTAACTCCTGATGCCTCCAATCAATCCACCTTTATCACAGCTAATAAAGATATACTCGTACTCTTAAGACCACCCCCCGTATGTGATAGATAAATAAAGTGTTATCATATAAATTGTCAACCGTAAGCTGGCTGTCAGCGCCGTCCACTCGAGTTTATTTTCGTTTTAAAGCTGGGTCGACGGAGCCTTGACGCAGAGGTGTCCCTGGGTGACGGGGTATCGACGGAGGCCCAGTGACCTTCAGTCTATACATACAGTATATCACCAATGACCACTGGCCTGGAGACTCCTGCACTGACTGGGGGCTCCCTTTCCCCCGCCACCCTCTGTTCCAACACCCACATCCTCGCATCATCCACACAAAGGCACCCCCACGAGCTAGTACTATTTTCCCAACATTCGAAGATATCAGTTTTCAGAAGCAAACCTAAACTATTACATGCAGCCTAGTAACAACCCGCTGGATGTGTTACGAAATTTTAATAGCCTGCGTCAAATGATACTCACATAACTACCAGACAAACACTTATCGCAGTTCATCAGAGTCAATACTGCCTTGACCTCACAGTATCTGGTTAACGACAGATACAGTACTGATTGGAAACTGGTTTAAGAACCCGGTGACTTACTGATCCGAAGATTAGGCGAGTTTGGCGATACGTTAATAGAGGTTAGATTAGATCAAGTCACGTTAGGATTAAGATGGGTTAGTTTAAATTGAACTAAGAGGAACAGATTAGGTTAAACTTGGTAAGACTAAGTTAGGAGTAGGTTAATTTAAACTAAGCCAGGAGCAGATTAGGTTAGTTTGAACTAGGTTAGGAGTAGGTTAGTTTGAACTAGGTTCGGCCTTTCGAACTTCTGAAAAATATGGTATGGTATGTGGCTCATAGGTTCGGAACCTAGGCCAGCGAAGCGACCACACCAACAAGTGACGAGATTAGAGGCGATACTTACTAGTGATAAAAGATCTTAACTTCTGAACACGATATATTGCACGTTCTAAAAGACGTTCACACATATACAGTCTGAAACACAACCACAAACAGACCCACAACCATATACGCGACCAGAGAGAGAGAGAGAGAGAGCGAGTCCTCACACCTAGATACAATGTCCGTGATTAGATATGGGCTAACTTGTGGTGACGTCACAATCAGACGTAAACATGCCATGCAAAAGTTTACATGTATTACAGTTTATCCGGACAAGCACTAGGCTATCCAGACCCTTCCCTTTGCCCGACCCACTGTATCTTTGCTGTCTAAATCTGTAAAGTGAAAATACACTCTACATATTAAAATAAACTTTATCTTTCTATCTATTTGTCATCTTTGGTCCCTCAGGTTGCGTGGTGTGGATCAGGAGCTAAGAAATACCAAAATACGGAAGAAATGATACGGGAGGGATCTATACGGCGACTATTAGAAGAAAAAAAAGAGGTAAAGCAACAAATACGAAGAACCAGTCACTTCATCATTGTGGTACAAATATAGAGTAAATCCTTTCCTTTTACATGTCAAATAACCTATCTACAAAGTCTTGGTGAAAACAAGCTTACCCTCCTGTATTTACCACAGCACCCTGTTAGTACATCTACCATTTATTTGTTATTATAGTGTCATGGTCGAGAAAAATGAACTTTGACCACTCCTCCCTATCAACAGAAACCTTACTGCAGTCTTCTCACGTCTGTCTACCACACACCAAACAATTTGAAGCAGAGGGCATTCATCCACCTCTTAACGTATGATGCAATCATACATTTTCATATGTAATATCCACCTTAGCCGGAGATGAATACAGGTTTCTACGTCATCGATATAGTTCCTCCAGAAAACACCTGCCCTTGTACACCAACTCTGTAAGGGGAATGACCGCAAGACCTTCGGTACTTATAACTATCATTACGATGAAGATTATCACTGTCTACTTTACATAAAACCCTACTTGGGTATACCGATTAGATAATATAGTTTGGGTGAACATAGCGTTATACTGAAGCAACAGGTGTGTTCGCGGTTCAATTTGCCATTAAGAGTTAGTCTTTAACAGCACAGTACAGTATACACCACAGCAAGAGTATTGGCACTTTTGGATGTGGTGGCCTCGCAGCACTAGACCGCAGAGCAGAGAGAACAGTGTTTACGTCGCTGCTCCGTGCGCGACACACCAGCCCTCACGATATCCGAGAAAAGTACCGTGAATATTTTTTTCCAGGAAACATTTAAAGATTTATCACCACAGGAGACGAAACCAAAACCTCCGAAACTAGCAAAACTATTTTTTTTTTGTGATGGACTAGTTATAGTACTCGTAATAACAGCTAAATAACACGGAAACTGTGCTAGTAACGGGGATATTTGTTACGGTGTGTTTAAAGGACACTTGGTGCACGTCAACAAAGCATAAACCAGCACCAACGGCTACATCAGCGGTACATAATAAACCAACATCCGTTATTACGAGTGCTGCAGCCTCTCCTAGCGTTGTGACGATGGGGAAATCCGACAGGAACTGCTTGGCGGCGGTGAGCGACGCCGTGGCTGGCTCCCTCGAGAAATTCTTCTACAGGTTAGTCTTTTCTCCCATTGGGACGAGGTCAAATACAATGCAGAGTCCCTATAATATAACATCGATGCTCTAGATACATCGCGTGGAAATCTGGTTTCATAGTCCATTAAGTGAACATGGAGCCGCCTTCTAGAATTTGCTTTGGATTATGCCGGGACACTGGAAAATGTTTTTGGACCACCAAAACGTAAACATCATTTACTTCGGTCAGTCTATAATTCCTAATTTTCTAGTCCTAGCTGCTGTGGTCAGTTAATGCTATCACATCTAGTTATAATAACTGTGGCCATAACAACGTTAATCTATGACCTCGACTTTAGGTGGTCAAAATGTGAAAACGGTAATAAGAAACATAAGAAAATAAGGAGTCTGCAATAGGCTGGTTGGCCTGTGCATGGCAGCTCCTGTCGAGAGTTACTACCACTCTCTATCATCCATGAATCTATCTAGCCTCCTTTTGAAACTTTCCAGAGTTCCCGCACTTACTACAAAGTTGCTAAGCTTGTTCCACTCGTCCACCACCCTATTTGTGAACCAGTTTCTTCCTATCTCCCTCCTAAACCTAAACTTATCCAACTTGAATCCGTTGCTCCGAGTCCTATCCTGCTCGGATATTATAAGAACTTTATCTATATCCCTTTATTGATTCCTTTCACCCACTTAAATACTTCTATCATATCTCCCCGCACTCTTCGTCTTTCTAGGGAATGCAAGTTAAGTTTCTTTAACCTATCCTGATATGGAAGGTTTCTAAGTCCCGGAATCATTTTTGTCATTCTTCGCTGCACCGACTCTAGTGAATTTATATCCATTCTATAATAGGGGCACCAGAACTGAACCGCATAATCGAGGTGCGGCCTGACTAGCGCAAGATATAGTTGCAATAAGACCTCTGCACTCTTGTTACTTACACTTCTAGATATAAAACCCAATACTCTGTTTGCCTTATTTCGAACATTAACGCACTGTTTTCTAGGCCGTAGGTCCGGGCTTACAAGTACCCCTAGGTCTCTTTCACACAAGTCGACTTCTCTAGGTTGATGTTGTTAAGGCTGTATACATTATAAGTATTTGTTCTTCCAATATTAAGTACGCTGCACTTGCTGGTGTTGAATTTCATTTGCCATTTTTCAGACCACCCCTGCAGTTTATTTAGATCCTCCTGTAATGCATTTGCATCCTGCCCTGAATTAATTTGCCGCCCTATTTTGGTGTCATCCGCAAACTTGCTTATGTTACTGCTGATCCCAGTATCTAAATTATGTAATTATGAGTGGGCCTAGTACTGACCCCTAAACCCCACTGGTTACACGGCCCCACTCAGATTTAACACCATCTACGCTGACCCTCTGCGTTCTATAGGTGAGCCATGATTTTATCCAATTTAAAACTATACCATCGAAGCCTCTGATGCGGTACTCTGTCAAATGCTTTGCTAAAAAGTAAATAACATCGTAATTTTCGTCATTATCTACTACCTCGAAGACTTTCCTAAAAAACGTTAGCAGATTTGTTAGACAAGATTTTCCCTTTGTAAACCCATGTTGAGAGTCGTAGATTAATTTGCTTTTCTCTAGATGCGATCGGATGCTATCTGCTATAATTGATTCAAGAAATTTCCCCACTACTGACAAACTGTACAAACTGTTAACAATTGTACTAATGCCGCTCCTTTCATTTTCCTCAGTGAGATAATAAAGAACATGGGCGATAAAATCCAACAATTAGAGCTACCTTGAGGAAAAAAATAGCCCAAACAAAATTTTATAGTTTAAATTCTTCCACCTTGCTCTGGATATTGATACGAGAAACAACTTTTCTTCCTTCTAAAATGTTCGTAAAGTTACTGGTTCTTAAATTTTAGGATACTGTCCTAGAATATTAATGTTACCCCTATTCACGAGGTCAGGTCTTAAATAGCAGAGGTAGGCGTGGCTTAGTAGTTGACCTCCGTCATGTAAGGCGGCGCTGGTTGACCCAGACCACGAGGCATACACTGGGGAATTCGCGGGGTCGGCTACTGCGACAAACAGCGTTTGTAGGGGAGGAATCCACTACAACCCTACCAAACACCACAGGTTTCCCGGTTTCCTCCTGTACTAACACTGGATAGACCGTCCAAACGGCTAGTATGCTGATAAGGGGGCGAATGTATTATATGTAAAAAATATTGAGACCATTTTTCTGATCCAAATTTAAGGGAAGAAATGTAATAAATGACTTTTTTTTACATAAATATACAATATATATCAAAATAAGTACTGTATATACTTTACGAAATATATTATGCACCTTGTATAAAGCAACAGCTCTCGAAGAGTTTGAGCACTGTAAAATATTCACTTGGCCGTCATACTCCAACCATAACAATATGCCCTAAAACTTACCTTAATTACGGTAGACACACACATTTACGGCAAGAACAAGCACCTATCCTCACCGTCTATAGTCTATACACTTATCACATCGTAGTAATGTAGCACTAGTGGGCACCTGTAAATTTCGTTTCTTAGTTGGGTGTTAATTCGCTCACAACACAACACTCGTAAAACGTCATAACGCGTTGACAGTCACTCGCGGGCTCTAGCGCTAGTACGATGGTTCTCTTCGGCACCAACTGATTTTTAAAACCATATTTTTTTTAAGGTAATACAAACCAACCAAATTAAATTAATTTCACCAAAATTATGATTGTCAACCCAGATGAGGGCAATATATATATATATATATATATATATATATATATATATATATATATATATATATATATATATATATATATTTCATGTAGATCCACAATGAAAACGTGGATAAGATAATGTTACATAAATTTATTTGTCAGTGGCCCAAGGTTAAAATGCTTTGAAAACCTTTGATCTAGATGTATGATAGTTATTTAGTGGGTCCCTTATTTTTGACCTGACCTGACTAGTCACGTCACCCCCCTTCTCTTAAGCTCCTCTACGTGTGTGTTGGTGTGGGGATTAGTGGATGACATCATTATGACCTGACCTCATGTTTTTAAGGTCACGCTGTATATTAAAGCCTCTCTGTCCATTTAATCCAGTTGCCTCTGAAGATGTCTTGAATAAAGACGAAAGCTAAGGTGCTCCGTTGTTTCCCTTGTGATTTTATCGATATATATATATATATATATATATATATATATATATATATATATATATATATATATATATATATATATATATATTAGATATCCATATATAAAATATATATATATATATATATATATATATATATATATATATATATATATCGACAATGAAAACGTGGATAAGATAAAATCACACGTTTTCATTGTGAATTTATGATATATATATATATATATATATATATATATATATATATATATATATATATATATATATATATATATAAAATGATAAAAATAATAAAATACTGAAAGTATGGTAAAAATAAAAAAATAAAACATTTAACATTTACAGATAAAATACTCCAGTCTAGCTTGATCCAAATTTATTTAAAAATAAAATCCATTCTTGTTTTCTTTTGAGTGAAAAGGTCAACAACTTTTTCATTGATGTTTGGATGACTGTTAAAGAAATTTTTCTCCATTGAAATCATTGCAAGTGCATTTAGCCTTTCCTGATTCATAGTGCCCCTCGGAAAAGTTTTTATTCTTTTTGAAAAAATGTTGAAAAGCAGCGTTCAGGCTCTGATGTAGTCATAGGAAGTGTCAAGAGGATTTTTATCAGTTTCGTAATCTCACTAAGAACACCATCTAAATTATTTTCCAAGATAAATTTCAGCAGGTTAATTAACCTGCAATATTCATGCATTTCGGACCTACTGTAGAATACTCTAAGTTCAGTTTCAAAATTTTCTTTGTCACTCATGGGATATGCTTCAGTGGTCAATCCTATCTCTTCTGTGGGCAGTTTATTCTTAAAACTAGTGAAGCTTTTCTTGTTGAATAATTTAGCAGCTACTAATTGTTTACTGAAAGAATATCTCTCCACTATATCAACACATATGCAGTCACATACTTCCTTTGCTTCAGCCATGAGCATCTTTGAAGGATTCTCACAGTACTTCGAGTTTCTTATTTCTAAAACAGCAGTTTTGAAATTTGTTATATATTCATGTACTTTAAACACATCAATTTCTCGAGACTGCATTTGATTGCAAATTACTTCAACATGAGACATGATCTGATGAAAAAGCTCCAACCAGAACATGAATTTTTCATTATTCAGGTAGTGCAAAATTCCTGTTGCTTCTGAAATGGTTCGATCTGCATTTACCGTCGACTGGATTTCAGCAAGGCAGCTTTTTAAAGGTTGCAAATTTTCATGAACTTTGTTCACGGTCCGTATGTTAAAGTTCCACCTTGTAGAGGATGGGTGCACAATGCTGACGTTTATATGCATATTGAGAATGGTTACACATTGTGGTGATCTTGAGAAAAATGTTGGTATAGCCAAAACGTTAAAGAAAAATATTCTTGAGTCCAGCGTAATACTTGCTGCATTTCTCATTATCAGATTCAGTTGGTGCGCATAACAGTGAAAGAAATGTGCATTATTATAAACTGCGTTTATTTTTGCCTGAACGTCCCCTTTTTTGCCTTTCATGACATTTGCACCATCAAATGTCTGAGCTATCAGTTTTTGTCTATTTCCATGAAGGATTATATCTAACTGCTCTAGAATACATTTTGATATGCCATCTACAGTTTGATTTTCTGGAATAAGGAATCCCCAAAAACGCTCAAATATTTCTTCATTCAGCACGTACCATAGAACAATTACCACTTGAGTGTGTTCTGAAACATCTGTTGTGTCATCAGCCGTGACAGCTACAAATGAAGCTTCTTTAATCTCTTTCTTTATCTCATCATGGTATATCTGCAGCAGGCAGTCAAGTATCTCATTCTGAATAGTCTTAGAAACACCCGTGAAGACTGTACTTGTTTCTAAATGGTTCTTTAAATCTGAGTCTAATTTAGATGCAAAATTTATTAATCACCTAAATACACCTAGATTTACTGAATCATCTTCTACACAATAAAGTTTCTGGAAAAAACAATGAATACAAAATGTAGTCTCTGTGAGTATGAATCATACGCATCATCCTGTTCCTGTGTGGTGCTTACGCGCCGTCTGCTATATCAAGAGTATTTGAATGTAATAAATTGTAGATGATGTGATATCATACAGTATGATATCACATCATCTACAATTTATCACATTCAAATACGCTTGATATAGCAGACGGCGCGTAAGCACCACACAGGATGATGCGTAAACACTACCTCCCACACTGATAACCAGATCAGCACAGTGTGAACCACAGTACTCGCCCCCGCTTGCCTCCAGGACATGTGTGAGACAAAGCAAACGCCCGTTATTGGAACTGTTGAGTAAGACAGTTCCACATACAGGGATTTTTGTTGTTTTCTCGGAACTAGAGGACGGCCATTGACATTAAGTTTAAGGATTATTGATAATACAGTAGTTTTAAATATCTTGTACAAGTATAAATAAATAAACATATATGATATATTATATTATATAATACATATATATCGGGTGAAATAGAGGGTGCTGCAGTTCCAGTGACTACCGACGAGCCGCCACTGACGGCGACATAGATGAAAACGTCAATTTTGTTTTATTTCAGGCATTGTGAACATTTATAGTACCATACTTTACTGTATTTTTAATAACAATGGTTGGTAAACGGTTATTGTCCAATAAACAGATCCAAAAGCAGCTGAATGAAGAACAAGTGGGAAATGTACTGGAACCTGAGGAGTCTGAGCCCTGAGGAAATGTATGGCAGTGGATAAGTGGGAGCCTACGAGGACTGACGGCATATTATCGTTTCGGTCATGTAGCGAATTTTAGGACTTTAAGTTTTGGAATCATTATATTTAGACAATTCTAAGACACTTTTCTTCGATAGCGTTTCCGTCAGAAATTTTTATTTTTCAAGTATTTTAACCGATAAAATCACCAACAATATTACTTGTTCAAAGTGGGTTTTGAAGTTGAGGGAAATTGTGGGGCAAAATACTAAAAATAACACCAAACAAACCTTTGAAACCCTTACCTAAAGTTTCCCAACATTTACAAATGTTAAGAATCACTTTCGAGTTTATGGATCCCTATCTGAACACAGAAAACAACACCAACACAGACTAAAACCTCAAAACACTATCACCTACCAAACACAGAAAAAATTAATAAGGTAAACTTTTTTATAATTTGGGGATTTTTAAAGGTTAGGAAACGTTGTTAGATTTTCATAAGTTTGCCAATTTCTAGAACTCCTATTTAAATGCCCTTTTTATTTTCAAATTCAAGGCTGCATATATCTAAACAAGTACAGGTACTGTGGTTGCAATAGAATATCCAAATAAACTAGATTACTCTTGCTTTCGTCAGGTACGGCAAGAGTGTGGCAACTCATCCAAAGAAGTACATAGCAGCATGTTTCCTCATCACTGCCTTCTGCTGCCTCGGTTTCTTTAACTTCTATGCTGAGAACCGCCCAGAGAAACTCTGGATTCCTCAGGTAGAACTGGAAAATACGCCATTGAATACATGAACCCTATTTACTTCCCACCAGACAAAATAATCTGGGATAATTTTCCACTGTCAAAAAATCAAATAAAATTTGTCACTCAAAGTCATATTGAACATTTTCCCTAGGAAAATATTCTTCCGGACGATTTCCCATTTATTCAGTTGATATTCCATTGAACAAAAGAAGCAATTTCCCTTACCTTTTCTAACCATACATAACACAATGTACACTCATTTCACCTTTCCTAAACTTGTCTTACCATACCTGACATAGTTTAAACCAAATTAAACAAACTTAACCCAAGTTATTCATAGCTCACATAGTCTAAACAGTACTAACCTCTCTTACCTTGGTCTCACCATCCACCACCCAGGACTCAGACTATGTCAACACCCTCAACTGGCAGGCAGTGAACTTCCCCAACAACCAACGAGTTGAACTCACCCTCTATGAGGCTGACAATGTCCTCACAGCTCGATACATCCAGGAGGTGAGTAAGGGAGAGTGGTGTCATAAATGATATGCTTTTAGATATGCTCTCAAATAACCTAGTGTCTCATATGCACCTCATTTCCTCGGTGTAATGTTTGTTCTGCTACAGATGTACCGACAGCAAAAGGCTGTACATGACATCACTGTAACGGACAAGTACAACAGGAGCCTCACGCAAGACAATCTCTGTTTCAGGTACACACAACACTATTCTCTTTTCCCCCTTCACCTTGTTTCGCCCATTTCCGTATTCTTCAAGAGTATTGCTCACATCTTAAAAAAAAAAAAACACACTTTAAAATATTAAGATAAACTTACCAGGCCCTTTGAGACACTACTACTGACATCGCTCTTCACTTGGCAGGGTGCCGGCTCTGGGTGGGGAAATGCATCAGGAATTAAGAAATGTTAAGGCACAGCTCTTTCCTGACCGTGATCTTGACAGTGAGTTGGACTGGTCTATAGCATTCGACAAAGGCATCTATTACCAGTTCTATGAGAAGATGCCCACGGCATGTCTGGAGCTGAGCATCCTGGATATCTGGGGAAAAAATCAGACGATCATCTATAGTCTGACCGATGAAGATGTCATAAATGGCATCAACACAGCAAACATAAGGTTTGTGGCACAATAGTTAAGGAAGGCGTCTTACTGCAAGTTGTGTTATGACCACAAGATTTAACCAATACTTTTTCTTAACTTTACTTTGATGTTCTGAAGGAAAAAAATAACGTTTAAAGAATCATGAAACTGAATAAGTTGAAATAATGTCAAGTTAAGTTGGTTGGTGTTTGGTTGAAAATTTTTGGGCCTGAGAAATTCATTGTCACTGACCGACCTGTCAACTGCTTATGAAAGGTTTTCATTAAACCTTTCACGTTGTACTTAAGGCCATTATGCTGAACTTGTTTGTATTTTAGAAGAGATATAGATGGGCCATCTTCTGTGGTTGCCAGATAATTAATTGGCATCTTCATGATTTTCAGTGCCATGTATTCCTATCCAATCAACTTCAAGAAATTTCTCGGAGATATAAAGAAGAACACAACAGGTCATGTCGTTGGTGCTAGAAGCTCTTTGGCCCAGATAGTTATGGAGATCAACAGGACAGAGATAGACTTGGTTAAGCTGGCCAATGACGCAGGACTGGCTGAAGAGGTGGACATGGCACTCTACGACTGGGAGGGAGAGTTCATCCGGGTTCTCCGAAACGACTCGGGAAGACCAGAGGGTCTCGGGGTGTTCCTCCAAGCTCAGCGCAGGTGTGTCCTAAGGATGGGTGATGGACTTGCATGATTTTTGTTACAAGTTTCTTCTCTATAACTGATGTCAGTTTTTAGTTGAGTGATGAGGATATGAAAATTCCATCCATCCAAGCATGCTGTGAGAACTTGAACACATAGAAACAGACTTCAGTGAAACCTAACCTGTGTATGTAACCCAAGATTGGTGTGAGGTGAGTATTTCCTGGTGGTGGGGTGCCCTGCAGTCTTGCCGTCACCTTGTTTTGAATGAAGGATGAGTAAGGAGACTGAAAAATTCTCCTTTTAGCTACTGAACACTATATCTCATACCCGAGTACCATATGACCCTCTGTTATACATAATTACAAGTGTTCTATTATGACGACCACTATTGAATGGTATATTAGTTATTAATATCTACAGTAAGATCATTGCACCCACTCCCAAGAGATGCTCAGTTTGTTCATTGTCTTATTTACCTACTTTTCAATACAAAATTCATATTCCAAGAAATCACAATACCCTGTAGTCAGTTTACTGCCTATTAAAATTAATCCCCCCATTATTACTGTCTTCCTGGCCATCACCTTTCACTGCTCTCACTGTATCACCCACCAGTAACCATCAGTGTCTGTCCTACACAGTGTTAATAGCCATCAAGCAGAACCACCACCAGCGTTGTTGTAAACTGTTGTGTTGTTCTTGGCAGCTTCGGGGAGATCAGCGGTGAGACCATCCTGGGGGACGTGGCCTTCCTGGTGGTTGGTATGATCCTCCTCTTCGTGTACGTGCAGCTCATGCTCGGCAAGTTCAATATGGTGGAGAACCGGGTGAGCTACTAACACAGGCATCACAGTATGTTGGGGAGGAGGAGGAAAGATGAAGGGAAGTGGGTAGGTGACAGAGAAACAGAGTATGAATGGCTGGCAGGTAAAGATAATCATATTGCTCAGAGTAAATAGACAAACAAACACAGTGGGAAGCAAAATAAATGAGGCAGAAGAGAGAAAGGATAACAAGAAATTGAGTCTAATGTATAAGGAGAAATAGAAAGAAAAGATATATTGAGGAATGAAAGGAGAGAATAGTAAATACATTGAAAAAACTCGCACCAGTTACAAAATTCTGGGAGGAAAAAATATATCAAATTTATATACAGTATAACAAATGTCAGCTGCCCGAGTGTTGTGTGTAAAAGTGAGTGTTCCCCACAGCCAGTGTTGTCCGTACTAGGCTTGATGTCGATCTTCATGGCGGTGGGCATCTCATTCGGGTTGTGCTCAGCTTTTGGGATCCCCTACGGACCTGTCCACTCTATCCTGCCACTGCTCATGCTGGGTCTTGGTGTTGATGACATGTTTGTTATTGTCCAGTGCTGGCACAACCTCAACCAGGAAGTGAGTGTTATATCATTATCTGCTTTGTTGTTTGTGTACTCTATGCATACATTTGTACACATATGGTCTACCGGTATGTATACACACACACACACAAGTAAAAACACATACCTGTAACTGATTACTTTTCTTGGGTGCTTTATAATTAATACATCTGATCTTAGGTTTGAAATGAAACTTTATTCCTATACATAGTATAGTTGTTAACCCTTATTAATTAAAGGGAATTACCTGTGCAGACACCACAGGCGTACAATATAAAGCAGTGAACACACCCATCATGTGGGTTATATTATACTGTACCTCTTTTACAGTCTCCTGGGGTTGGCTGTTTCCCCTGTCCCATACTCCTTATTACAGTATACTGTACTAAGATTCTGGGTCTGCTCCTCTTAACATATTTGAGAAATTATCTCTATACAGTACTTATTAAATGAACAAACATGGCATATTGAATATAAATAGATGAATATTACAAGCATTGAATATCCACTAAAATAATAGTTAGAGGAATCAGTAATATAGTGGAGGAGTATGGGGCTGAGTGACAGGTCAAACATTGCAAAGTTTCAGTAAGTCCCAGTCCTCATGGGCCTAAATCAGACGTCTTGGATTTAGGGCTCAATCCTTATGGTTAGGTTAGGTTGGAGGTCTATCACAAGAGGCCCCACTTAACCAACAACCACAGACTAGGAGTGAAATATCTTGCAGGAGCGGCGGCTGGACCTGCACAAGAGGATGGGATGTGCCCTCCGCCATGCTGGAGTTGCCATTACTGTCACCTCTCTCACAGACTTTGCTGCCTTTGCTATTGGCTCCAGCACTGTAAGTTGTCATTGTCTCCACCACTGTTCAGTTATCAGTACCTCAACCACTGTAACTTACCAATACTTCACCTACTTAACATCGTCAGTACTGTACATCAACCATTAGTAAGTTGTATACACCTTAACCAGAGGAACTTGTCAGTACCTCAAACAGAGTAACTTGTCAAAACCTCAACTCCTAAACATGGACCAGTATGGTACCTCAACTCCTAAACGTGGACCAGTATGGTACCTCAACTCCTAAACGTGGACCAGTATGGTACCTCAACTCCTAAATGTGGACCAGTATGGTACCTCAACTCCTAAACATGGACCAGTATGGTACCTCAACTCCTAAACATGGACCAGTATGGTACCTCAACTCCTAAACATGGGCCAGTATGGTACCTCAACTCCTAAACATGGACGAGTATCGTACCTCAACTCCTAAACATGGACCAGTATGGTACCTCAACTCCTAAACATGGACCAGTATGGTACCTCAACTCCTAAACATGGACCAGTATGGTACCTCAACTCCTAAACATGGACTAGTATAGTACCTCAACTCCTAAACATGGACCAGTTTCGTACCTCAACCACCGTATCAGTTATAAAAGTTAACATGGTGTCGTTCAGAAATAAACAATATTAAATTGATCTTTTTAAACAGGTGCTGCCAGCACTGAGGTCCTTCTGTATCTACTCAGCTCTGGGCATAGTGGCTCTCTTCATGCTTCAGGCCACGTTCTTTGTTGCCTGGTTCACCCTGGACCAAACCAGACTGGAAGGTGAGTGATGAGGAATGGGACTTTTGCTGGGTTATGAATGGTGGAGTTAAGTTCTTTTGGCAGGTGATGGTGAGTGTAATTTTAGAGGGAGGTAAGTGGTAGTAGTGGTGGATCTGTGATGGTGGTTCGTGTGAGTGGGGACAGGCCAAGGCAACACAGACTGTAGATAGGAATACTGTATTAAACTCTCTCCACATCAATTGCACTTCATTAGTCATGAATAAGATAGCACTGGAGATGAGTTGTGTTGTCTTGTAAATACAGTACTACATTCTAATTTTTTTTTTTTTCTATGTAGATAATCGCAATGGACTCCTCTGGTGCTACAAACATAAGAACTGGACACCCAACAAGTGTTCACAGTACGACCTGTGCCAGATGTTCTTCGATAAAATCTACCCCAAGTATCTCCTAATGACACCTGTCAAGGAAAGTGAACTTGTATCACATCTTACATGATGTTCTTACTGATATACAAACAATACTGGACAAAAGTCATTGCTTGCATAATTAGTATGGCAATCACTCTGTAAATGGTGTAATGAATTTTGTTAGAGTTAGTAACAAAGTTCTTACAAACTTTTACAAAAACTTAGTCTTAAACCCAATTTATGATACTCCAAATGGATCTTTGAGATATTGTAATAACTCTTGAGATGACGGACAGATTTCCTTGAAACTTAAAACTTCAAAGAGCTCAGAATGTTTGACAGAAGACAAAATCCTATAATAATCATCTGCTTATAATAAAGTTAATACCCTGCAATGACTTAACAGTAACACTATTTCCCTTGTAAACGTACACTACTCTGTATTGCCACAGGACTCTTGGGAGAGAGACTATACAGTAATAAACAATGCACACACATCATTTGTTCTCCAGATGGTGGTTCTCCTAATGACAGTGGGTGTGTTTGCTACCAGCATCTGGGGCGTGACCAATCTGCGCCAGGAATTCAACCCTGTCTGGTTCATTCCACAGTCATCCTATTTGTTCCAGTTCCTCTACCGAGCACAGGAGTACTACCCTGATGCTGGTCAGTCATTGGTTTGTCTATTATTACGAGTTTGTGTCAGTGTTGTGTTAATTGCATTACACTAGCGATTAGTGTTGTTGTCATTAGGAAGTGTATGGTGTGGGGGGGGGGGCTTCATCCAGCTGTGGACTGATATAGGTCGATAATAATATACAGTATATATTAACACACTCTTACAAACAATATATGAGGCACTCTGCATTACAAGAGGGTGAAGTGCCAAATTTAAAAAGCTGAGAAAAACTTGTTTAAAGTTTTTGGAAATTCAAACAACCATAACTTTGTTGTTTTTTAAGCTAGAGGGTTAATTTTTTTCTATCGTGCAGCTCAATCCCTCTCCTAGCGAAGTGAAAACTGGAAGTTAGTACTGTGAATAGTTATTATTTTATCGCGAGTTGAATGAGAATAACTACCCGTCATGTATGGTTATTTGATCTTCAAACCAATAATACGGTAATTGCGTTTTTCTGCAAAATTTTCTTATTATTGTGGACTAATACTGCAAAACAAGTTAATGATCACCAAAAACAACACTTGTCTTACACCCACCCCCTAACACCCCCCCAAAAAATTAAATAATAATAAAAAACTCATTTGCCTATCAGTAATTTTCTTTCCGTCCCTATTATTAGCCAAAGATTTATAATATTGTTAAGTATAATAGTGTGTAATAATAAGGAAACACCACTACACCCATTCCCCCACCACTAACCTCTCCCCTCCCCAATACAAAGGCAGAAAAAGCTTACATAATCTTGGGTTAAAACAGTATTATGATAATAGTATTACAATCTTACTTTGTTTAGTTCCTTCATTTTATTATCCCTGACGATCGTAGTAAGTTGAAGGTACGTAAATCCTGAGGAGTGCGTATAACTTTAACGGCCTCGTCATAATCAATCACGTACTGTTCACAGTCTTTCTCTGCCCTCTCTAAAAATTGCTCCTCTCACTCTCAAAGGATGTAACCACCTTTGCTTACTGAACACACAGCCAGATACGTAGCTCCTGGCCCGAGGAAGGGTGAAAATAGTGATATCCATAAAAAAAAAAACATTTTCCCCGGGGTGGCGCTTTGTAATGCCAAGCGCCTCATATATCATATGTACTGTTATACTCACCATGTGTTTAATAAGAAAGATCGGAGAGAATATATATCCTCCTTTTTTTTATCTATGAAAAAAAAAATATGAACAAATAACAGAGCAAAAAATTCTAAACCCAGGCTGCTGAAGAAGATACCTAGAGAGTTAAGTTGGTTTGAGGAGACAGGTTGTGATAAGCAGTAGCTGGTGTATGGGAGATGCAGGATAACGGAGAAATTTGTGTACTGTATACAGTATTTTCCCATTGCCATTACTGTATATATAAAGTTTGAAGTTATTTGATCGTTGTCAGTATTTATTCCCTGTGCATTTTTAATGCAGTATTAATTACAGGCTAAATGAATGTCATAAAAACTTGTTATGTAGCCAAAGATATAAGATATTAATACCTGTATATCGTCTGTGAGATGCTAACAAATAATATTCTTGTCATAGGAGAAAGGGGTACAGTTTACCTGGGAGCTCTCAACTATTCCCAGGAGCTTCCCAAGATTGGTGAGCTTGTTACAGCCATGAGGGAGAACAAGTACATCAGTGGTGTAGACTCCTGGTATGAACTAATGATTGACTACACTAAAAGTGACACGGGTGAAGGTCAGTATACTTAATCCCTTCACTAAAGGGACGACATTTTTAATATTTGATTTGGTTAACGCCAGAGGATTTTATTCAACTCAGAGGGGACACCATACACAAGTGGTTCAGATATACATTTTCCTCTACTTATGTATTACACTATTGTGTGTTTAGTATGTATATGCTTCCTCTGTTTGTATTGGGTGGGGTCAAGGGAAACAGACACCTCAAGAATAGGGGCAAATAGTAGAATATAATGGTGCAAAAACAGTGTAAAAAGTGACATGATAGGAAAGATAATGGTTGCAAGAAAAGTGTAGGAAGTGACATGATAAAGAAAAAGTGATGAGAGAGAATGGTGTACACAAACGGAGCAAGAATAGGATAAATGGCTTGAGACATAACTACAGCACATTTATTACAATGGAGATCTTCCCAGTGATTAAAAAAAAAGTCAGTAATTATGTCATTTCCGCCATACATTACCTGGAAAACCTGGAGTCCTAGAGTGCTCCTTGCAAAGAGAAATTAGTTTAATAAGTTGTGTATGCAAAGATTTATTACATATTATTTTAAATATAATAAGCTATAATAAACAGGAGTTAGATGAATGTCAAAATGGATATAAAGTTTGCATTGTGTTTTTATCACTAAGAAACATCACCTTTTGACTATAAAGTACAGCACTGTATGTTGAAATACTTTTGACTATTTTTTCTCCTTCATTCAAATATTGCTCCCTCTCTCTGCCTGGTCAGTCCATCCTTATTGGGGTCTTTAAGATGTAGTGCTACTGGAGATTGCTAAATATAAATTACACTGACAAAAAACAAATGAAATACCATATTTAGTGTGAATATCAGTGTACTGTACCTGAAATATTACCTGTACAACCAAATGCTAGTTCATGCAAATTACTGATATTGTATATTGGAAAACAGTCCTTGTTAATATACAGTGTTCTACATACTTTTATGAATGTTAGTCAGACTTATCTTCAACAAATACATTACCCTTTTATTACCAGACATCAATGGAAAGTCTATGAATGAGACTTTCTTTAGTGCAGCCTTATCAGCTTTCCTCTACTCACCTGTGGGGTCGCGCTTCCAGACCTACTTCAACTTTGATGGAAACCTGACCATAGCACAACCTGCCCCACCTGTCACCGTACGTCTCATTATTGTACCATCACTCGTCATTAATATTTGTGATGCCTGGAAGATCATAAAGTGTGTAATCAAGGTTATTTGTGAAGAGAGGTTTGTTGAGATGGTGTAGAACAGTGGTTCTTAACCTTTTTACTACCACGCCCCCTCTAGGAATTGGTCCTTCCCTCCACGCCCCCCCTTGCATCTATGAATAAAATTCCCTCCCAGATTTTAAAGAAAAATGAAAAATATTGTGTTTTTAGTCTTTTTATTGAGTATAAATTAGTGAGATACTTGACACTGCTTCTTAGCTACTAGATCTTGAATGCGTGGTTGAATGCCAGAGTGTGCACAACGTAAATCCCCTTCAACGTTCAGCCTGTTTCTGTACTTGGTCTTGACAGCAACGAGCGTGGAAAATGCAGCTTCACAAAGATACGTGGATCCGAACATAGTTAGAATCCGAAGAGCCTGATGTGAGATCAGAGGGTAAACAGGAGGGTACTTGACCCAGAACGTCTCAAGATCCAGTTCTTTGAAGTCTTCCTTAGCTGTGAAGTTGAACTTCAACTCAAGAAACTCCTCTTGCACTTCATCTGAAACATCAGCTACTTCACATTGAAATGGGTTCCTGATGAATTTCCAGGCTTCACGCTTCTCATCTATCTCTGGGAAGTATCTGATGAATTCTGTTTTCAAGTCAGTTAGATGAGTGATTATTTGTTTCTTTAACTCAGAATCAAGGTAACCGTGAACGAGAGCAGAATCCAAGTTACTAAAACTGGCTGTATTTCCCTGTTGAATTCGACACTTCCAGAGGTCAAGTTTGGCCATGAAGGTTCGAATGGTGTCGTGGTGCATGATGATGTTGATGTTTTTCCCTTGTAGTTTAAGGTTGAGAGCATTCAACGCTTCGAAGATGTCCACCAGGTAAGTTAGAGATAGCTGAAAGCCTTCAAACTGGAACCTGTCATGGAGATCTGCCTTCTGCTTCGAATCAAGAAATATTGCTACTTCTTCTCGTAGTTCATAAAGCCGTCCAAGCATGTTCCCCTTTGATAACCATCGTACGTTCGTGTGAAAAAGCAAGCTTTCATGTTCAGATTCCAGATCCTTACACAGCAGGTAAAGTTCTGGATACTAAGGATTCACGAAGTATGCAGTGTGTACCTACAACAGACAGATTTTTTTCTTTCACCATTGTAATGAATCCCGACTGCAGACCAAGCATGGCTGGAGCTCCATCAGTGCACACCCCTACCAGCGAGTCCTACGAAAGTTGGTTTTCCTGAAAGAAGTTTGATACATCATGAAAAATAGCTGCTGCTGTTGTACAACTTTCCATGGGGTGACAGAACAGCATTTCCTCTTTTACACTGTTGCCTGACACGAAACGAGCATACATCAGTAGCTGAGAACACTGAGCGATGTCAGTCGTTTCGTCACACTGGATGGCAAAAACAGGAGAATCTCTTACTCGGTCGAGAATTTAATCTTTGATGTCTTGAGACAATTCATCGATCCTTCCCTTGACTGTATCGTTTGATAGTGAAATTTGGGAAAGCTTGTCTTTTCCCAGAACGAGTTCTGCTGCACGGAGTATGCTTGGTTTTATGAGAAACTCTCCGATGTTATGGCTCTTCTTGCTCTTTGCAATCAACATGGCGATCTCATAGGAAGCCTCAACAACCTTTGAAGTTTGTTGCCGAAATGGCCCACTGCCGTCCAACTTAACTTGCTTCAAAGAGTGTCTTTTTGTTTCAAAGAATGCCTTGGGCTTGTCAGCTAGAGCAGGATGTGTTGTCCTCAAGTGGCATTCCAAGCGTGAGGGCCGCATTCCATCATTGCTCAGAGTCTTGTAACATATCACACACTGGGGGACCTCTGTGTCACCCTTTTGGAGAGACACGAATCCAAATCGAATATATTAGTCAAGATATTTCCGCTTCTTTGCACTCATTGCGAATAATTTGATGTGCAGTGGACAACACAAATGTGTGAACAAAACATAAGGCACGTGTAAGGTAAGATAAACATCACCACGTGCTCCTGAACACCACATCATCATGATAATCACAACCACATGATCAATAACAAACATATGATCGTAAAGTTCGTAAACACTACAAGTGACTACAATCATACGTGATCATAAACACCACATGATTATTAACAAGCATCAATGATCACAACATGATCATAAGCACCACTACATGATCATAAACACCACCACATAATTATTAAGTAAATATTAACAAACACCACAACATTATAGTAAACACATCATGATCATAAACACATGATTATTAAGAAACAAATCAATATCATCACAAATACAACTTTATCATAACCACCTGTTACCACCACATGATTTTAAGCACCACCAACTTCTGATAAAAATACAAACGGAATTCAAAACTTGCGAATAACAAACAGAGCAACACATGCGTGTTCACTATTCACCAATAAACTTATGGCTGCTTACTATTTTTAGGTAAATATAACAACTGGGATAAAACATACCTCAACAGCCTTAACTGAATAAATGTGAGAGAAGAGGAATTATTGCCACGGACGTGTGCAGAAGACTGGGAAAACGGGCTCACCATCACCAGCGAGCAGTATACAGGTCCAGGACGAGTTAACCCCCATGGGTTTCGAGGGATAGGGAGGGGGGTCAATAAGTACAGAAAATGGTAAGCCCTAAGTAAAAAAAGTAGCCTATAGAAAACTAAAGTTATAAGGCGATACTTTAGCATTTTTTCATAAACTTCTCAATATTAGCCCACGCTCTTGTTAAGAGAATTATAATTAGAGAAATTCCTACTTTTTCCCTCGGGCTTGCGCCCCCCAGGTTAAGAACCACTGGTGTAGAAGGTAAGATAGGTGCAGGAGGGGATAGTAAAGAGAGTGTATTGAGTAGAGGGAGACTTTTTATTGGTACAGGAGATAAGGCACATGAAGTGATATGGCTCTTGTTGTGTCAACCCCTCAGAGGGCAGCTTCCTGGAGGACTGTGACAACATAGATAAGACAAACATCCCCATGTAAGCAAGTAGTCACATCAAAAAGACAACATTGTTGATAATGATGATGATGTGGGTGTACTGAAAGAAATGTTCAGTAGTAGACACACACATCATAATACAGTATACTGTACTTGTTTCCAACTCAGAATTTAGTTAAGGGCACCATGCTATCATCATGACCACCACCACCACTGTAGCTTCATGTAAGGTAACTAAATAATCTTGAATACATGAAAAGTCAGCTAAATCCACTACTGTTTCATTACTAATATTTTTTACAACATATTAAGTACCAAGATGATGATAATTTCAAGTGCTACCATATAGCAGTGTCATATTTATGATAACTTCTGGTAGGTGTAGATGTGGAGAAAGGTAATAATTAATATGTGTTATTAAGGTACAGTACAGTAATATATACCGTACAGTATTTCATCTATCATGCGAGTCTTAACATCTTTTACAGGCAAGTAAGTTTGACTATCGCCACACGTCTTTGGATGGTCCCGGTGTACAGATTCCTGCGATGGACCAAGTGAAGGAGTTGGTCAAAGCTGCAAATTTTTCAGGTTTGTGAAGTCTAATTATAATGTAAAATTCCCTGGCATATTATAAACACATCTAATTCATGAGGGACATGCAGAGATTTTATTTTGTAATTGATGAGATACAATAATGTGAGGTAAGAGATCATTAACACCACAGTCTTCTTCTTGAGAGTATTGTTCCCCTGACCAACACTGTATAAAACAAGAGAGGCCATACTGACTGCACTTATTCTTCTCTTTGGATGCCTTTCATAATTGCTCATAGGTCAAGACTTGGATCTCTTCTTATTTTGCCAAGTATTCCATAAACAATATATTTTTCTTGTACAGTACAGGTTGACAACCCTTTATCCGAAATTCCAAAAACCGAAAAGCTCTAAAAGCCTTAAGTTTTTTTTTTGTGGGCATTTTTTTTTTTTTTAACAGGGATTAGCCCACCTGGACATAGATGTAATAGTAATAATAATAGTAAATAAAAAGTTTATTAAAAAATACACCAAAATAAAATAATAATGATAACAATAATAATAATAATAATAATAATAATAATAATAATAATAAAGAAATACAAGAATGAAAAAAAAGATCAAAAGTGAGAAGCATGACCTAGATCTATGAATTGTTATTATTATTATAATTTTTATTATATTTTCGCCACCCAGGCCCCAATGTGGGTCAGTGACTTGTGCCCGGGTAGGCTAATACAGGTTGTACCTTTCTAGTCTGGCATTCTGCGGTCCGGAAGCTCCCATGGTCCGGAACGATTTTAGTTTGTCCAATGGGTAGATAGGCAGGTTTTTTTGTTTTTTTTTTGTTTTTTTTTTTTTTTTTTTTTTTTTTTTTTTTTTTTTTTTTTTTTTTTTATCTGAATTATTATTACAGGAGTATTAAATTTTGCCCCTCAGGCCCCAATGTGGGTCAGTTACCGATGCCCGGGTGGCTAATCCCCTTAAAAAAAAAAACAAAGCCGCGGGAAATTAAGGTTTGTTTACATCCGGCAGTTCGGCTGCTCTCTCTCTCTGCTTGTCTATACAGAGTACAACATTTAACCCTTCAATATATATGAGCAGTAAATAAGTGTTGCTTTCATATTCCTATGTAGAGTAATGACGATATGTTTTCACATGTGCGCACTTACATACGCGCAGTCCCACTTTTTTTTTTACCATTAATGGTTAGCTACTTATATTGTTCCATTTATTAACTTTAAATAACATTAAAGGTACTTCAAACAACCATATTAATTTTTTTACATTAATTTTACTACAGCTAAAATCAGGGTCTTATTTTCTTCAGTTTTATATGTAGAACCAATCAGTCACTGGTTTTGTAAGCTTTAACATAAACAATTCCGGCAGCCGTCTCGTCTCCTCTAATATTCCACGTATTATTAATAAATTGTATTGTTAATTTTGCACACACAAACATTAATTCAATAAAAAGAAATTCAGAAACATTAATTAAAATATATATGAACAGTAAATTAGTGTTGCTTTCATATTCTTATGTAAAGTAATGACGATATGTTTTCACGTGCGCGCATGTGCACTTACATACGCGATCTCTCTTTTTTCTTTACCATTATCGCTAGCTACTTCTATTGTTCCATTCATTTCCATTTATTAACATTAAATAACATTACTTAAAACAACCATACTAATTTTACTACAGCTACAGCCAAGGTCTTATTTTCTTCAGTTTTATATGTAGAACCAGTCAGTCACTGGTATTGTAATCAACGAAAACAATGCTGTGTCATTTCCTCGTGTGTTTTAATATTCTATGTATTATTAATGAATTGTATTGCTCATTTTGCACACATGAACATTAATTCAATGAAAAAGACATTCAGTAATAAACAATAATGAATCTTTTGTACATAAGAGAAATGACGCTGTTTACACGATTATGCCCGTTGTCTGCACGTTGGTGGGCCGTTCAAACCCGTCGAAATTCAAGTTTCCGCCGTCAAAATTTTTATTTTTTTATTTTTTTGTGTGTTCCAATAAAATACGTTAAGAATTAAAAACGCGCGAAATTTGAGAAGCTACTAAACGACATTTAACCCTTCAATATGTCTTCAAAGAGACCATGATGCAGAGAAAGTGGTGCTAGTGCTTCCAGGCATAAGCACAAGTCACGATCTCTCCAGGAAAAGGGTGAATTTCCATGGTCCGGCACCAGTCAGGTCCCGAGGTTGCCGGACTAGAGAGGTACAACCTGTACCAAAAAATAAATAAAAAAAAAATAAAAAAAATCTGAAAACCAAAAAATTCCGAAATCCGAAATGCCTCTGGCCCCAAGGATTTTGGATAAGGGATTGTCAACCTGTATTAGTCTGCTGTGGTTTGAGAAATGTTAAGATTGGAGTAAACATTGTTGTCAGTAAATTAAATGCCAACTGCATACAGCTGGAACATGACTAATGTACTGCAGCACCACATAAATACTTGTGTAGTGACCCAAGACTAGTAAGGACAGCCCTGTTCCCAGTGGAAAGGTTCTTATACAGTATAATGTTCATCATTGTCGGCCAACACAAGTTAAAGGTTAAAAATCTTCCTCTCTCTCTCTCTAAGACAAGGATTCTGTACATCATGTTCACGGAAACTCAAAATGTTAACGCAGACAAACGTTGCCATGCTATTACTATATATACAGTCTGCTTTATGTGGATGTATAGTATATATTTTTTAAAGAGTAAAACTAAAATGACTGCTTATGTGTGCTTAGTATGTGAAGAAGCCGAGTTGAATTTTTCAGCAAAGTGAAAATTGACTTGCTTTCAGCCATCTATAGGCAGTCTTACAGTACTGTATTAACATTTAAGATTCTTACACATGTCTACGAGTAGTTGTCACACAGGTGAGTATAATAAATATTTTCAAGAATAGTCACTTTAAGGAAATAAACTTTCACCACTTGTGTATGGGGGTCTCCTCTCTGCCGTATAAAATTGTCTGGCGTTAACCAAACAAAATGTTACAAGTGGCCTCCCAGTAGTGAAGGGATTAAAAAAATAATTAGATTATGTAAAAAGCTGTAAAATTAAGAGATTAAATCAAGATAGCATTAAGAAGAACTGTTTGAAGACTACTGAGTTTTAAAACTGTACCTGTAATGGCAGATCATGAGGTGGGACTGTTGGGTAAACTTGACCAATGGGCTACTAATGAGAGGAACACATTTATAAGCATATAATTCTATAAATGAACATAATAAACTGAGTGATGTGCTTCCCTAAAACCTAGAGGCAAATATTTTCAATTTTATTCTAGCAAGTACTACAGTATTTCACCACAAATTAGTGTATTAAATCAATAATCTATAGTACTGTATACTGCGTATTGGTATTCCAATAATTAATTTTGGTATATTTCATGTTGCAGACTTTGCTGCCCCAATTGCCGTGATGTACAGCAGCTATGAAACAGACAAAATTATTACAGTGGAACTCTTACGGAACTTAAGCTTGGCGATGGTGGCTGTGTTCCTCATGACACTGGTGTTGCTGGCCAATATTATGAGCTCCATTTATGTGCTAATATGTGTTGTACTCACCCTGGTATGGTTTACTGCTCTTTTTTTGCTCACATAATTAGTTTCATTTCACGACTTACTCTACAAAAAGTTAAGTTCAATGATGACCGATACATTTAAATCATTTAGTCCATCTATGGTTTTTCATGGCTAAATCATGTAAGTGCTTAACAACAGTAATAATGAGGACAAAGTGTCTACCAATATTGTCTGATAGCAGTGATGACAAACTGTACAATAAATTCCTTTGCCACTTTGTTTGCAATAGTGAACTTAACTTGCTGTAGTATTGTCAGAGAACTATTTTAGGGGTCCCCCCCAAGAAGATAATATAAATTTTTTTGGAGATAATAATTAAATGCTAGTGTTGAATCATTGAGTTGCAGTTGTGTTTGACTGAGCTGGGACATTAATGTGGAAGGCAGACCACTACAGGTATATGTGTGGTCGATCAACTCAATCCGTCAGCTCAATCCCCATTCAACTCATACCCATCAACCCAACCCCCACTCAGTTAAACCCCCCTGTTGACTCAACCCTGTCCAAATCATGACATGGCTGATCATCATTTGTCAGTACTGTACATACAAAATGCTGAAGTTCAGAACTTAAAGAAACCAAGAAACAGGTATGTAAATTTGGCTAATCACCCTTGCTGCAAAAAATGCAAATTATGAAAATGAACCAGACAAACTTCAATAACTTAGCTGATGGAGGTTGGGTTGACACGGAACTGATATGTATATGTCCTCGTTAAATTTTGAAAAAAAGTTCTCCAAATTTTTCAAACCCTAAAAATTTGGGAGGTACTACAGTATATGTAATACAGTATTATTGCTGTTCTACTGATTCAGATACTTGATATTTGCTACCAGGTGGATGTGATGGCTCTGATGACATGGTGGGACCTAACTATTGACATTGTCACCTGCATCAACCTGGTCCTTTGTATTGGTCTCTGTGTTGATTACTCAGCGCACATTGCTTTGCATTTTCAGCAGGTATGTCAAGAAAGTAATGTAGGACAGAGCCAGCCAATCAGGGTGTGCTCAAGTGGTAAGGAATGCCATACAGTATTAAGAGAACAGGAAGGGAAAGATTGATACAAATTCTGTAGTTTATAATTCAAAGGTGAATGTAGGAGAGAAAGTCAAAGGATTTGTAAGGGTGAGATAAATGGTACACTAAAAGTGAAGAAGATAGATGTTCAGGAAACAGAAGTGAGCCATTATTAACACTCGTGAGAAACTCTGAGTCGTTATGAACACCTAAGTCACTTGAGATCATCTTAGGCGCCTTCTAGTCATTTTGAATACTTGTATGAGTGGATGAAATACAGTACAACAATTGAGCCTAGAATCAATGATGTTGTTAAACAAAGACTTTGTATTATTAAGGATAGTAATGCTCAACTTATATCAACATTATAAAGTAGAACGTCGATATAACGCAAGATATGTTCCAAGAGAGTTCGCTGTAAATCGAATTTGCAAAAAATCAAAGTGTTGTTTCAATGGAATAATTTAGTTTAGTACTTGAGAGAAAAACAAAATACTAAAAAACTGAGTCTACCCAGATGCACCTCAGCCCATCTCCTAAAATAAATAAAACATTGTTTTTTGTAGTATTATGCTAAAACAAACACTCATAATCAACACAGCTAAAATTATGGGACACGAAATGGTCTGTTTACTAGCGATCAGCTGATGTGAGAGGGTGGTCGCGCTGGTGCCACACACCGCTCGCCTGACTTACCAAGCACTTTCACTTTCCTCTCAACTTAGTTTTTAATTACTTTATGCAATCAAAAATAGATTTTCACTAAACTTTAGTTAGGCAATTCATCCTCTGAAGATGCAGAGCCGAACTCGACCAGCTCATTATCCACACCACTGTCCAAATTGGCATCCCACACTTGAAGCATTATTTCCTAGCTGCAGTACTTCCAGCACCTTGATTTTCTGCTCCAATGTAATTGCTTGCCTTCATTTCTTGGCCTTTAGGATAGTTATTGATGTAGTAGCTGGCCTCTTGGACATAGTGGTGATGGTTGATGCCCGTGGTAGGAGATAGTGTCTCACACACTATGTCCTTTCACTAGAGTGTTGGCGCGAGAACTGAGGATGCCGGAGGGTGTGGGAGGGTGGCGGGCAGCCTTGTAGCGTGCCCAGAGAGGTGTTTGGCGGGAAACATCAGGCGCGAAACTTAAAATAATGTGTATTTCCATATGACGCGCCAGATTTGACTCGTGTAAAATAGGAAAGATTCGCTTTAAATTGATATGGTGTCCTTAATTGTGGGTGTCGCTTTAAATCAACAATTTTAAATTGATTCGCTTTAAATCGACGTTCTACTGTAAACATCTGTGGGAGTGCGAGGCCGAGGAAGATTCTGATAAATCAATCAGTAGGGTGGGACATAAAATATTCAGAGGCTCATAGAGACAGTTCATAAAGATAGCAAACATTGTAAAACTTAAATTATAACAGAATAGACCTCGAGTAACCTTGACCTCAGATATTATGTCTACCAAAATCTGCAAGTTTCTTCCTATACCTAAAAAAGTTGTGCAAATTAAATTTTATTAAAAAGTCCAATGCAGAACTGAAGTTATTATGAGAACAAGGTCTTGTCTATAAGCAGACAGACAGACTACAGTATATCTCCCCAAATACTGTATCTCTGTGCTCAGGAGATAGAAAGGTTCACAAACATCAGTCACTAAAGGCTGAACTATAGCCCAAGTTCAGTAAAAAACCTAGATAGTACAGTAATTTACATGAAGAGTGTGAGTAAATGTGGGTCTACAGTGTGATTAATTTAATTTGACATCTTAATAGGCCTCACATTAACTCCAAAGTCAAGATTGAATTTTGCATCCCATTTGCCTTCAGGTTATGGTCACAGCAGTGAAGGGAGATAAATATTTATATGGGTGTCCTATCTCTACCTCTGTGCTTCCTTGATAACTTGGTACCACTGACAGAATAATAGTAGAAAATGAGGGAAGATCTAGTGAATAGCAGTAGTGCGAGTGTTGTGAAAACTCATGGAAGGAAAGACCACAGAGACCAAAGAAATACCTTCTGTACAGTCGGGGTCAAAAGTTCGCTCCCACCCAAAATGAAGCAGCATCGACCCAAAATGAGTTGAAACAGTCAGGGTAAGTCAGTTAGGAGACTCATTCCAGTGACTCAGTTTCACCACAGGGAGCGAACTTTTGTCTCTGACTGTACATGTTTGGACAAATGTAATGAGCTGCTATAACCATTACATCAAGAGGATGATTTCAAAAGCATTGTTATTAACTAAAAAAATCTTTCATCAAAATAAAGACTGTTTCACCATGTTTACATGTTAGTGTCTTAATATGCAGAGGATCTGATAGTGGGGTCATCTGTCATTATAAATGTATTCTCAACAGGTTAAAGGAACAAGAGATGAACGCGTCCGTCTGACCATCCGAGACATGGGTCCTCCAGTGATCAATGGTTCTTTTTCAACCTTCCTGTCTTTTATCCTTCTGGCTTACTCTGACTCTCATGTCTTTGAATCTTTCTTCAAGGTAAGCAAATAAAATTATCTTAAAACAAGAGTGTAATTCCTAGACCTGTACAGTCACGAAAAAAAGGTCCTGTTAGTTTCCATTCCATCCATAAATTCAGACTCGTGAACCTGTAAATCTATGGCCCCAACAGTGTGTGGTGTCTCGGAATCACAGGTTATTGAGTCTCGGAGTTCATGGATGGGACGGAGGGATGAAAGGACTTTTTCCCGTGATTGTACTGTACATGTAAAGAAATAAAATGCGAATTGATCAGCAGAGTCCAGGAGCTGCACAGTACATGTTAATGATTGTGTTAGCAGCATGACCAAACCTGGAGCTTCAGTTTAGCATACATAATAAACTAATATTAAGGATTGTCAATCAATGTTTAGGTAAATTAGATATAAGGAGTGTGGGAAAAAAAAGATGATAATATGTAGGATGTTTCTATTTGTTTAAAAATCTTTTCATTTCTTGTCAACACTTATCTTTCAACACTCTCCCTTACCATTCCCACATTTTCTTTAGGGTTATGTATCCCTTGATCCATACAAAAGAGCAGAGTTACAAGTACCAGTACTGTAATACTGTAGATATATGAACAGATCTGTGTTGTTAATAATGTAATGTAGCATAAATAATGTGTGGTGAGTGGAGGGAGGGAAAGTTTTTCTTTATCATTTTACCCACTATGCAAGTTAAGTTCACTGGCCTGTGATTATTCATGCAATGGTGATCGCCTGTGTTTTGAGTACTGTATACATCATTACTTACAGATCCCAATTTCCAGTCAGAAAGAATCTTTTTTTCCATGCATTTGTAGATCAAATTATCAATGATTCTGAGAGTTTGGTGGTACTGTACAGCCATAACATGCATATCTCTCAACATTATGTCAGGGGTTAGAGTTCTGCTTGGCCCAGACACAAGTGAGAAGGGTATTATCCAGCATGACCCTCACTGCCAAACATCACAGGTTTCCTCCTCTACTAGCATTGGCTAGACCAATCGCCTGAATGGCTGATAAATGAATAAATAATATAAACACAAAATACTCCAGGATGCACACTATCAGAGTCAGGACCTTTTGAACCTTGGGTTTAAATAGTGGCTCCAATGCTGTACTGGGGACTCTGTATACCTTAGGGCTGCATTGAACTGCCTGTCCTCAAAACAAAATATTTGACTAATAGATGTACTGTAATTCCTCATGAATTTCTATAAGAAGTCTTTGTTTTGTACCATACATATTATTATTTATTTCACTGTTACAGATATTCTTTGGAGCGTTTGTGTTCGGGGTGTTCCACGGCTTGATGTTTCTACCAGTTTTACTCAGTCTGGTTGGTCCAGCACCTTATGACACAGACCTCCACGCTATCCCGGAGAATGAGGACAATGGAGGCTTCTCAAACAGCTCTACAGTGCATTCCAAGAACATTGAAATTGACGGCAGGATGTATTCCCAGGTGCCTCAGACTCTGTCTGTATCTTATGAATGATTAACCTGGGCTGGTCTGAACCAATTCTTTTTTTAACGAGTAACTCGTAAATATTCAGCCGCTTACACCTCCAGTGACACTGTATCACTGATTCAGTTGAGTTTAGATTCTCAATGGTGATTATCAATTGTACAAAGCCTTAACTAAACTAAGAAACTTGCAGGATTTTTTTCCAACTACACTACAGTACAGTACTGTGTACCTTATTACGATACAGGGAGTTCTGCTATAACGCGTGTTTTGATAACGCGAATTTGCTCTAACGCGATTTATGAATTCGGAACAATATTTGTATAACGCGAACGCTTGTTTGCTATAACGCGATTTTTGCTTACTATTTCTCCAATTTTGTGGTATTAACTGTGAATATGGTAAAGAAGAATATCTCCAAAAGGCGCTCTGATGATAGAATTCCCGGTGATTATCGTAAAAGAAAGGATATAACACTTGAAGAGAAGCTCAATGTTATCAACCTCAAAATCACCCTTCTCCCCCATCAAGTTACATTCATATTTTTTCAAGGTAAAGTGTTAAATTTACTGTATGATTTCATTATTAGATATGAATGTAACATTTATTTAGACTGTGCTATCCTTTGTGTTAGGCTAAATACTAAATTTTTTCGATTTCGAGTAATCTGCACCTAACCCTATTTTCTCCATAAGTCCTGTTATTTCTATTACGCGATTTTCTATAACACGATATTTTACAAGAACACAATTATCGCGTTATAGCAGAACTACCTGTATAGTTAACTATATTGTATGGCTTGGGATTGTATCTGTCATTTATTTTCTGATTAAATTTCAGCACTGTTGTTGTACTGATTTATTTAACAATACAATAAGCCCCTGATTTCTGTAGGAATATGTCATAGTTTTAGGGATCAGTTTGTGTACAATATCTTAACAGCTCAACTTGACTCGCATATCAAGTACTTCAATGCTATACCATATGCCTGGTTGCTGGTGATACCCAAAATTTTTTTTTTTTGAGAGAGAGAGAGAGAACTTAAATGTCCATATTTCAAGGGATTTTCACCACCTCAGGTTTATGTCCAAGTGATATACAGTACAGTAAGTCCTCGTTTAACATTGCCTCCATTAACGTTGTTTCGTTATAATGTCGCTACTCTTTAGATACCAATAATTTGTTTAACGTCCTGACGAATCAATATAACGTCGTTTTTGCGTCGTCACGGACTGCGTTGTATGGCGCATCACTCTCTCTCGTCTTGCTGCACTGCGCTCTATCAGCTTGGAGTGTTACCTCTCACTCGTGGAACGTCACACAGCATACCCAAGTGATGCTAGTTTTTGTTAGGCTTCCACAGCGTTCTTACGTGTTCAAGTGATTTTGCTCGTAATCCTGTACTCTAACCATTCAAAATGGCTTCCAAGCGCCCGTCAAATGCTACTGATGCTAGTGTTGTGAAGAAGCAACGTAAGACCATTAGCCTTGCGACGAAAATGGAAGTTTTAACCCGTTTTGAAAAAGGGGAATGTGCGGTGGACATTGCTGGTGTGCTTGGACTAACCCCCACAACAGTGCGTACTATCCGGACTAACATGGACAAGATTAAGGTTAGTGCTGGAAGTGGTAGTTCTCTGAGTGCAAAAAAGACAAGTCGTACTCGAAGTTCCGTGATTGAGAAGATGGAAAAGATGCTGGCTGTGTGGAAAGAGGACCAGAATCAATGCAATGCCCCTGTGAGCCTTATGGCTATCCAGCATAAAGCAAAATCCTTGTTTGACGACTTAAAGGCAGAAGAGGGTGAATAATCAAAGGAAGAGAACTTTACGGCTAGTTGAGGGTGATTTCAACGTTTTAAGCACCATTATAACTTCCAAAACATTAAGATGACTGGTGAAGCTGCTAGTTCAGATACGGTTGCTGCCGAGATATTCCCGCCTGAATTCAAAAACATTATCCAGGAAGGAGGCTACTCAGCGAAGCAAGTCTTTAATGTGGAAGAGGAAGAGGATGCCAGATAGGACCAATATCCCAAAGGAAGAGAAAAGAGCGGCAGGTTTTAAAGCAGCAAAAGATCGTGTGACGCTGCTGCTTGGCGCGAACGCTGCTGGCGACTTCAAGCTGAAGCCTATGCTAATTTCTCGCGCTTCCAACCCACGAGCCCTGAAAGGTTACCCCAAGGAACACCTTTCTGTCATTTACAAGGCAAATAAGAAGGCATGGATAACCAGTGCTATATTCAACCAGTGGTTAGCCATGTACGCCATCCCAGCAATGAAGGAATACTGTGCCAAGGAGAACCTAAAATTCAAAATTCTTCTTGTCATTGACAATGCTCCAGCTCATCCTCCCAATATCGACGACTTACATGACAATGTTAAAGTTATCTTCCTGCCTCCCAACACGACAGCACTGACAAAGCCAATGGACCAAGGCGTTATCGCCGCATTCAAGGCGTATTATTTATGGTGTATCATGGATCAACTGCTAAAGACTACTGACAAAGAAAATAAACCTACAATCCAAAAATATTGGCAGGGCTTCAACATTCTTTATGCAATCGATAACATTGGCAAGGCATGGGAAGAAGTTTCAGAAAGTTACCTGAATGGTGTGTGGCGAAAATTGTGGCCCGAGTGCGTCAACAGTTTTACGGGATTCACGGACTTAGTCCCATCAGTGAATAAGGATATCCTCAGCTTGGCTAGAGAGGCAGGCTTTCATGAGCTGGAATCAGTGGATATTGAACAAGTCCTGGCATCCCATACAGAAGAGCTCACCAATGAGGATTTGCAACAACTAACAGAATACAGTCCCGTTGAAGATGACGGCGACGAAGAAATAACACAACGAACGCTAACTACCAAGAGGATGGCAGAAGCATTCAACATGATTCAGCAAGGATTGCAAATCTTCAGTGATGACGACCCAAACAGAGAACATAGCTCAGAGATTCAACGCAACATTGATGACAGTCTTGCTTGTTACAATGAGATCTACAAGGAGAAGAAGAGGAACATTAAGCAGTCAATGCTGGATTCTTTTTTTCATCACTGGAAGGCAGCAGCAGCATCTTCACAACAGCTCGAGGAGGAGCAAACAGCAGCCGAGGAGGAGCAAACAGCAGCCGAGGAGGAGCAAACCGTAGTCGAGGAGGAGCAAACAGCAGCCGAGGAGGAGCAAACAGCAGCCGAGGAGGAGCAAACAGCAGCCGAGGAGGAGCAAACAGCAGCCGAGGAGGAGCAAACAGCAGCCAAGGAGCAAACAGCAGCTGAGGAGCAAACAGCAGCCGAGGAATCCCAGTCAGAGCGGGAGGAGGCACCCACCGAGTCTCAGTGACTCGCCACCTTCCTCCACTCCCGCCATCCTCCTCCGCTCCACTACCCACAACACACTCCGCCCATTGATGAGCACAATACAAAATGATATATATATATATATATATATATATATATATATATATATATATATATATATATATATAAAAAGGTCAAACACAAAGGTAATAACCATTTCTTACATGCAGTACGGTACTTATTTTATTATTATTATTATTATTTTCATTTATTGCTCACAATTACTGGTACACAGTTCATCCGGACAGTCACCAAGTTGACTCAAGAGAAATGTGTGGCTGCTGACTGTCTGCCATGACATCACATAAGGGGTAAGGAGAGTGCAAGTTGGCCACAGTTACAACTCACTGGCTCAATACAGACGTTCACTTCCCACACATACAAAACCATGCATTTCATCTTTTTTATTTTATAGTTTTATAGTGACTGTATACAGTACTATAAAACACTGTAATGTACTGTATACAGTACATTGACATTATTCGATAGTTTCCAAATTTTTGTGTACGATTATTCGTTCGTTTCCTGTTTAGTTTAGCACCTTATTCAGAACCTTCCAAAGATTGTTCCTCATTATCCCAACCAACAAACATACTCTGTTACCTGTCCTTGGCTGCCACAAAATATATTTGTAATTACTGTACAAATATTTTTTTAATGTACAGACAGTAATAATAAAGTAAATAATACAATAATAAATAAATGTAACACTTACATTTTGCGGTGAGCTGATAATATGAAGATGATATTCCAAAAGTGTAATGGTTACACTGGTAAACACACACATTGGAGAAATAGGACAAAATCTTGGAGCTGGTATACTAGGACCCTCTTCAGCTAACTAATAGAACAAAGCAAGGGAGAAAGGCATAGAACAAAGGAATCAATTCACATGACCTGTCTCCCGAGTTGAGGTAGGGTGGGATAATCTTAATAGTATCAGGTCAGTGGACCCTGCCAGTGATCCTGAATACTGTCATCAAGAAGTGCAGGTATACAACAATGGTAAACAGCAAGGCAACTTGACCAAGGATAGTCATAAGACGAATATAACCAAAAACAGCCCTTTACATATCATTTAATAACTTCTGTTTACCATCAAAGTATTGGATGTTATTTATTTTTCTTTTATTCCAATATTGTATATTTTTATAAGCCAAGATTAAATGGCAAAAAAAATAAATATTTGTGTAAGCTTTTTTTTTTTACCTGACTTTCAACTTCATCACCACCATTTTATGGCCATTTTCCACATTTGAGAGGATTAATTAATGGAAAATTAGTTTACTATAAAGTAAAGTAATTATGTCATAGTGAATACATATATAAAGGATATGTGAAATAATTTGTCAAAATACTACAAAACACTCTTTGGAAAGGCCCCAAACCCTCTACCTTAATGGTACAGTAAGTCCTCGCTTAACTTCGGGGTTATGTTCCTAAAAATGAGAAGTTGTACGAAACAACGTTAAGCGGATCAATTTTCCCCACAAAAAATAGATAAAATACAGGAGTTATGTTCCTGAGCCTCCCTTTGCCCCATGAAATACATTACATATACAGAAAATCATTGTCATTTTTATGGAAATAATGCATACAACTACTAAGTTTGTATTGGTATTCACCGATGGGCGTAGGTGGTAGAGTGAGTGTATGGTGGGTAGTGAAGGAGGGGAGGAGTATGGTGGGAGCGGAGGAGGAGGAGGGCGGGAGAGGAGGAGGGTGGTGAGTCACCGAGACTCTGCGCCAAGCCGAGAGAGCATAGCGTCAGCAGAGGCGGGAAAAATATGAAGTTGTTTGCAGTCGTATTTCCCACATCTGCTCACAGCCATGTAATATTTCAATGTGATTCTGATCTTTTAAAATGTTGTTTTTGCATAAAATAGTATTACTGATATGTAATTTGTCTTCGCATGCCTTATTGCTGGTAAAAATAAGTACTGTATATATTAAATGCATCCGCCAAAAGCGTGAATTTGCTTCCCGAGTTTAACAGTTAATTCACGTACAGTATAATATTTCCGATAAACTTCCTACGTGCTTATGTTTGAAATAATAAATGTATGTATCTTTATATAATTTAGCTTAATATCTTTCTCGTCAGAAACAGTCATCCCAACGATTATGAATAAACTCATTTAGAAATACATTAATATTTCAGGACAAAATTGGACAGGTTTGCAACAGCCAATCAGCTGTAACTTTTGAGGAGGGCATCTTTTCTCAGCTGGGAAAAATGCGCTATAGTCACCTTTACCCTTAATTTATTGCCCTAATTAAGTGTTTACTGTACCATGATTTCAAAGGGGAGAAAAGGTAAAAGTACTGTAGCTCATAAACTGATACAATATACAGTAATACATATGAAGCAGAAAATAGCACTGACTTAAATTAAAAATATGGAGATGCTGGACAGACTTGCTACTGGTGATGGTTCATTGTCTGTAGCTGAAGCTTACAGCCAAAACAAATTGACTGCATACATACAGTGAAAAGAAATGTTTTGTTGCCTATATATTTATTTGCTGGATGAATGAGCGAGGCCATCTTGTGAGCCAAGAACCTAACCCCATTTCCTATGATCCATTAGTATTGTTTTACACGGTTTCTATGTACATGTTGTTCAAGAATATAACCACTGTGTAAATTGAGGGCCACCTTTACAGTATTACTTCCAAAATCACCAATACTGCAGAAGTGTCAATAAAAAACAAGATATGTTCCCCCCCTGAATCTTTTAACCTAAGATCTTCATACTAACGAGAGGCATCAGCAGTTCCTTCACATCATGAAGGTTGACAACCAAACTCCATTATTCTTAACGTCCACGGTGGAATGTAAATCCTATCCATAAGTGGACGCATCGATTGCTGTGTGTGGCACGTTGTTTAAAAGATGCAGGGGAAAGGGAGAAGGATCTTCATAACTATGATCACAATCAATTCTGGAGTCTTTAATCCCACCATAATTAAGTTTACATAACTACAACCTTAGTTCAGCTTAAAGAAATTTAGGTAGTAGAAAGTACAACATTCAAGTATGACTGTGGTTCTTATGAAAGCGAACTGTATACAGTATCTGAAAATTAGAACATTCTTCACACCAAGGTCCTTAAGCATATCCGCTTATTAAGAAGACACTGTACCCGAAAAGAAGAGAAGGCTTAAGTTGTTTTGCTGTGAGCTTAAACACTGAAACTACAAACCATTCAGTTTGAAAACTAACTCCAGTCCAAGACCCTTAGTGAAATCTTTAAGGTAACTTTGGCAGAAATTATAGTAAAATATAATATATACCAAAGACTGGATGACAAGTAAACTCATCACCAAATGCTTGAGGTTTATTCAAATATTTTACAGACATATATAAAACAATATATATTCTATGTATATATCACTATGTGTTGTCATTAGTTTCCCCATAATGCTGATGAAGTCATAATACAATAATACACTGACAAAACAATATCCTATAACCCATTATTAGTACTATAAATCTGCTCAAATTAGTGGACAAAATCTATTAATGTTGATTTTAGGAGAATCAACCATTACTACCAACTAAACTAAGTTTAGGTTTCCTTCAGTGCCTTGGACTTTTGTTTTTCATGTCTGAGGAAATAAAGAAGATTTGTTTAACTTCAACATATAAATGGCTGCTGGTGAAAATATGAATATCTGGTCAAGTAACCAAAAAATTATATTATAATTATTCAGAATAGGAGTAAAGTCTTATCTGTGGAAATAATGAGGTATTTTGATGCACACACACACATCTGCCTTTGTGTGCAGGTGTACTGGGGTAGGTGCATGTGAGGAGAGAAGTACAGTAATACCGTACTATAAAGAGGATTGATCCTGAAATCCCAATTTATGACCTGACCTCCAAGGCTGACTAACACTATTAGCCAACCTCAATCTATATTTAGAACCCATAAAACATCTAAAAAAAAATGACTAGTTTTAAAAAACAGTCAAGTACTCTCCTTTGCCTACAGCCCAAATCCTTACAAGAAAGTGGTAAAGTACTGTATAATACAAAATTTCATAAAATTTGTGTAAAATAGCACCGATGTTTGCAAAGTATTTTAGTCAAGAAAGGGAATGATATTAGAAATACAATATAGTACATTAAAAGCTCAAATGATGCTTACTTGTAGATGCGAGAAAGTTGGTAAAGCCCCGTCGTTGCTACGAACACATTCACGCCAAACAGGTTCCAGTTCTTGGGAATTATAACCAGGGAGTACCTGCAACATGGACAATAATACCTATAATGATACAGTAACATTGTACCCCTAGATTCTTAAAAGGTTGTTACCATCTCAAGCTTCTCCATAACTTAAGACAAAAGCGGTCCACACACGTTCAATAATATTGACTCAATATATTGACCGCAATATTTTGTCAAAATCTGCCAACTACAAATAACTCAATACTATGGTGCAATGTTCAATTGTGCTCTTGTCATCACCCCGTGAAGGTCTCATTCACTGACCATGGATATTGAGTGACGCCTGTGTAGCTCTTGCTCTGGCAATTTCTCTGGGCAAGAAAAAGAAAACAAGGCACAAAAGGAAGTGCTGGATGAAGAACTGGCTGGATTAGCGACATCACTACACACATGAAAATTTTCTATTGGAATTGTGCTTAAATGAGCCAGACTACAAGAATTTTCTGAGAATGGATGAAGAATGTTTTGACTACTTACTGAAGATGTTTACCCCACTCATTGAGAAAAGAAATACTGTGATGCAAGAAGCTGTTTCAGCACGTCAGCGGCTATCAATTACATTACGATACTTGGCCACAGGAAACACATATGAGAACCTGAAATTCATAAGTGCTATATCACCATAACCAATTGGCCAAATTGTAATAGAAACTTGTCTCAAAGATTATATACAGGTAAGGATACAAATATAAATTAAAAGAAAAAAATTATTTTTAGGATGCATACATTATGGAAATGTATAGGTGTTGCACATATCACATTAATAATTTCCAAAGATCAATGACCAAGTAAATTAGTATAACAATAGGCATTGATAATAATGACATCTTCCACAGCGCAGGGAGTTCACGATATAGCTGTATACATTCCAAGATGAACCTCCTGTTCTTTTTTGTGGAACCCGACATGTTTACCGGTTGACCTCCTGACACACTGACGAAATATTGAGCAATATAATTGCGGCTATCACAAACCATTCAATATTATTGAGAACCTGTCAATAAAAATAAAACCAATTTTGATTTCTTCAATATATTGCACAATAGTATTGTCAATATCATATACCGAGTCAATATTATTGAATGTGTGTGTGGGCCGCTCAAGACATTGATACACAGAGCACTTGCTTGGACCCCAGTTGAGGTGTTGGTTTCACAAGAGAAAATTTTTATAAAAATGACTCCTCCAGAAACTTGACCCAACCATGCTGTATAACATGTTAAGTTTGCTTCCTGAATGATTCTTCCCAGCTGTAAATTAAAAATATGGTACTGTATTAATATCTCATTTTCTTAAATTGAGTAGTGTAGATGAGACACAGTTGGAGGTAGAAGGGCAGGGATTATTGTAATGTTTTCATAAAAATTAATAACAAGACTTTTCTTCTTATACTGTACTTCCAGAGGCAGCAACATCTATTTCACTTTCCTTTCACATTTTACACAAGAGTACTGTAGGGTATAAGAAAGCAGTCAGTCACAATACAAAATCCCCTGTACTGTGCACTGTAAACACTAGTTGTCAAGTGATGAATGAGGTGGTCCATTTACTGTAATTAAATTTTCTGGGTTTACACAGTGCATTATTATCGGAGTTTGATCGCGCAGTTATGTGAACACATCAGTATCTGAAAGTGTAATACTGAATCTAATATGTTGTTCCACATTCATGTAAAGCCAGTTTTCAGCTATGGAAGGGCACTGGACAGGTAAGGAATGCTCTAATTACTAACCCAAGAGACACAAGTTTGAATCTGTGACAAGGCAAAATTAGTGGGTAGGTCTTGCCGAGGTGAGCACCAAGCTGGTAACTCACCACGTCCACAGCCTCTCAGTTTTGTGGTTAATTTGAAATGTTGACAACTTGAAACCAACTGACGAAATGTGGGTTGGTGGCTTAATGCAGAGATAAATTACCTGATACACTGATGGCAAGCAACCTGCTGACAGACCTCCCCGGTTAAATATGTACAGTGAGGTGAGGACACACAACACCTGACAAAATCCCATCTAGGTACTGTAGTGCATTTTCCCTCTCAAAGTATTAGCTTGTCTGCCAGGCAAGTGCCTGACACATAGATGTGAAAAATCAGCCCCTAGTACAGACACATCCAGGATGCTGGGCACTGCTAATCTGCACAACTTGTAAGAAGTACTGTATCTTCCTAACTACTTACCTAGACCAGATGAGACCAGTGGCAGCCAGAGCTGATGACTGTGAAGCTGATAACTTCTCTGCTGGTCGAGCCAAGTCTCCCAGACCAGCAATCACCAAACCCTGCAAAATTAAAATAATGTAATTAATGCTCAATGATTTTTTACCTTCCATTCCTAACAAGATATGAGTAATTCTTAACCTTCACATTGCTAAACACTCTTATTGTCTATCACTATTTCTTAGTCTCTTCCTTTAAATGTTTCTGTAAGTTTATAAAAATTTACATGTCTACTAGGTAACTCCCTTTAAAAATATTTGATAGGTTATATATATGGTTAGTGTTGGCTGCCGGGCCATATAAGCCTTCCCTGTCTGTTATATATCATGTAGTTGAGGGACCTGGGGCCCTGAGGTGCTGTAACTGTCCCTACATGAACCCACACTTAACCAGTTACCACTCCATGCCAAAACACTGGAAAATCAATAAACACTTTGTGGTCTTGCGAGGCCTCAAGCAAAAATCTGTGATCAAGGATATCCAAGCGGTTGGAACTGAATGAGTTGATGCCTTAATTTAGGATGGCTGACTTGTAACAGCTGAAAAAGGTTCACACATGCTAGTGTTATGTCACAAGCTCATCAGACTCCTATTTTGAATGGTGAATTTTGTTCCGTTAGTTACACTAATCAAAAGACTTAAAACTCATCGCCAATAATGTTGTGGGTCCTTGAGTCTTGTCCTGTAAACTTGTCAAGTGTATTAGCTACCTGAGTTACCAAGCAGAGAGCATTTGAGCAAAAACTTACCCATTTGAAGCAAGGTGCCCAGAAGAATACTGTTTTGGGACCTATGGAACAGACAAAAGAATGTAAGTCAGATCAACAGTGAAGAACAAGCAAATGATCAAGTTACGAGAACAAAGAGCGAAAACATCAACATCACGTTCTAAGTTAAGAACAGCCAATTGCAATCTTGCCATGCATGCCATGTTTAGACAGTAGAAATGGTTATTTCCACAAAATGTTATTTAATTTTAGATGAATGAAATAAGATAAAACAAGTTTTTTAGGTTAGGTTAATGTTTGTAGGCTAATTTTCTTCATATTATGAATGATAAAATATAGAATGTAGCTGTGAAAGAAAAAATTATGAAACAAACCAATATTTGATTTCAAGTAATCAGGGTTAGGAGGCTGCTCCTCTATACAGTATAATCTAGGTTTATGCTGTCAATTAAACCCGTGGAGGTCCGCGTAAAACGAGAAACTCGTAAACGAAATAACAGAACATATGAGATTAATTGAAATAGAGACTGAGCCGACCGCCAGACTACCCTTTTTCCGACACAATACATACATTGTAGTAAAAATAACATCTTAATTTTATGATGGTATGCACACACAATTAATATTTAAGAGAAATATCAATAATATTAGGTTTTTTAACACTTACGTTAGTAGAAGAGATGGCTGGGTACACGGGGATGGGGGGTTGGTTCTGAGGCAGAGGGCAGATTATTGGCCCTCACCTGTATCACTTGTATCACCTGTATCACTATCCACCACAGAGGCTTGCAGGGCCTCTTTGTCAAACCCCTCAAAGTCCATATCCTCACTATCACAGACTTGGGCTGGCTGTGGTGGGTGGTGAGTGAAGAACTCGGTAATGTTTTGTTGACTGGGCGACCTTGTGCGCACCCTGCCCGCGCCGCTTCCCGCGTAAATGATGGAATGTACCGCGTAACTAATAATTGCCGGTCTGGCCAGGTGCCACGTAAATGACCAATCGAGTAAAGGAAATCCGCGTAAATCGAGACTATACTGTAGATGAAAAACCTAAAAAAAAAATTTTAAAAATGAAAACACATATGCAAAATATATTCATCCTGCATCTTTGTCAGTCTCTCAGTTAGAGATTTAAACTTCTATGGAGAAATCTCCTCAAGTTAGTTGAATTAGTGGTAAGTAGGACCACTGTAGTCAAGTAAAACAATTTTTTAAAAAAGCATTTGCACAAAAAATAGCATCACAGATTATTAAAAGCACATAAAATTACGGTATAGGTACATTAAACAATTAAAAAGAAGTGAGCGTAATATTGCAGCTAAGTTACCTAACTCACAGGTTGTGGCTGTGACATTGCATTCCTAGGGAATAAAATCAATTTCATTCAGCATTTTGCATAACATTGACGAGTTATTTAGTGGGTGGAACTCTCAAACCTAACCTAACCTAGCCCAATAGCCTAATATTATAGCCACGGTGCCACCACTAAATGAAATAACAAATAGATTCTGACAAATTCAGAAGAAAAGCCCAATTAGTAAGTGCTGATCCCTCTATAAACTTACTACACAGTTATGTGCCCATCTTAAAATGATGTATTCCGTTTTCAACTACAAAAAGTGAACATTAGGTGCAGGTAACATGATACACTGTAGTAACAGACAACAACACAGTACTACTGTACAAGGACCAACCTGCCGGGTGGTTCCAGAATGGTTGCATTTTGGGAGGAACAAATTTATCTGCCCGACGAATAATTGCTCTGTAGATGGCTGCCATGATGTTGCTCCCTGTCTTACTTCAGCAGTAATATATATATATATACACACAAGAGCTTCACTTTCACTATTCCACTCCCTAATAACTCCCAAGGTCGACGACGAGACAGCTGTTGTAATGAAAGTAAATATTTGTAAGCGACTCTACTATGGGGCGCTGGTCACTACCGCCATCTAGGAAGTAATATCAAAGTCAATGAAGGTATACAGTACCTTCCTTGACATAACCTGCCTCACAACTCATAACTTAAACTTCCACAGCCCCATTGTATTACGGAATATGGCCAGAATTTGGAAAGAATTTAAGTTATAATTTAATTAAGTTGTGTTGAAGTAAGCAGGTTTCAAGGGGTTCGGGTTCAGACGTGACTGCCATCCATGAGACAGAAGCAATACTTCTCAGAGACAACTACTCAAGATAATTGTACTGAATATGATTTGTAACTCAGATGTTATTGAGTAACTTTGTATTTTAGAAAGAGATGTCTAAACTTGTTCCATTATAAATAAAAGAGTCAATTATATCATCGTTTAGGATGTAGTACAGTGCTTGCCTCGCACCCCCGTGTCCTGGATTTAATCCCGGGTCAGACGCGAGAAGGATGTTATAGGCGAATGTTAAAAATAAGTTACACAGACCGGAATGCAAATGGAGAAGTATACTAATGTTAGCAAACATTTCAAGAGAAATGTTTGAAATTAAAAAAATTAAATACTTTGGTCATATTTTAGGAATGGGGAGATAATAAAAAATATTAATGCATTAATGGGTTAAATTGAGGGTAGGAGGGCCAGGGGAAGGTAGATGCTAGGATGAATGAATGAAATTAAAAACTGGATCCCCAAAGAGATGCAAAATCTTATAGGCATGGTAAAAAGGGCCCAAAATCGTTTAGAGTGGAGAACTGTTGTCACCAACCCTCAGATATGAGGGCAGTACTCTGATTGATTCGGATTTAATTGACCATTTATCCGTTTATTAGCTATTCAGGTGGTTGGTCCCCTTTGTTACTTTGTTATGAACTTTATTGTCCATTGGTAGTGTCGCTGGATATGTTCACTGTATCATCAAAACCCACTAACATTTCTAATATGGATATATAGTATATGACTCGGTTAAATATATTTTAGGTTATTAGAAGTTCGTTATAGCATTCGTTCGTTATAGGATTAATCCTTTCCAGGCCCCCAAATACAACCACTTAACACTGAAAAAATTCTGTGGAAAATGTAAAAAATACGGTACTTTATCTTACCTTAGTGTTATTCAGCATGCAGGTACCCCTAAACACTGGCACATCACTATCACTTCCACTGGGAGTCTTGGCTTTAAGGTCCTCAAACAATTGTTTAGCCTTCTCACAAATTATAGCTTCACTAATGTTACCACCTGCCATTTCTTTCTCCTTTATCCATCTCTTCAATCACATTACACTTTGCTTTGCTAAGTCTAAAGGTTCCCTTAGCCACTTGCACAGTTTTTAACTCCTCTTTATTCTTCAAAATCGTACATATAGTCGATTTAGTCATCCCATATTCATCACTAAGTTTCGCAATGCTTCTTCCATTCTCACGTTTCTTTACAATTTCTTTCTTAGTTTCAAGGGTTATTAGCTTTCTCACTCGCTTTGGACGACTCATTGTTACAATTGTATACTTGTATAACAAAATAGTTATACAAATAACGCGAATTTCCACATCAAAAGACGAAATGTCAACAATAACAATGGTGCACAATGAGACAAAGATGGCGCCTGTTGTGGGTCGCGGTACAACAATATTCATGCGCCAGGTGAAGTAGTCCCGTATTCATCCGCGTTCGTTGTAGGAGTTTCGTTCGTTATAGCATTCTCAATTTTATAGGTAAAACCGTTCGTTATAGGAATATTCGTAGTAGGATCCGTTCGTTATAGCATACCCCACTGTATTAACATTATCAAGTCCACTGAACATATCACTTATTTTTTTAAACCCAAATATTTGTAAACAAACTCACATGAGAGAACCTCATCATAATATTATGAACAAGTATCACGTTATTAGTGATTGGAAAATAGCTGATGCTGCTGGAGTACAGCAGCTATCTTATCTGGTAATTATTTGGTAGTGATTATGCATGTCTATTTATATTGCTTTATATATAGGGAGATTTAACACAAAAATGGTAATGGAGCAGGAGGATAGCACCCCAAGGACTTTATAGAATTTGTTCATATTGTCCACAGGTGTTGTTTAAAAATGAAACAACAACATTTCCCTTTATTTCTATTTTTTTTTTTCTCTATGGTCATAAATCACTTATTATTACCTGTAGTGGGAAGGGCTTAAATGGAGAGGGAAATTGCGGGGTAAAGCACGGCGAAAAACTAATCATTTAACAGCAATAAACATTTCTAATTTTAGGAAGTAAGCTTATGAAGGTTAGATTGGTTAGGTCATGTTCTGTACATCGTCGTTTCCATTTTCTTGTTTAGTATCAAGCAAATAGCATCTCCAGAAATTTTGGTGTAATTCCATTAGCAATTTCTACAGCTGTCTCCTCCACCATTACCAAAGTGATACTTAGCTATAGCGTTTACGTCGGAAATTAATACTGTATTTAGTGTTTAATTTTACATTTCAGTTAAAAAATGCAATTTTGATCACACAAAGTGGACAGGGATTTGAAATACAGTCCCGGTAGAAGGTAATTGTTGAGTAAAACACTAAAAAAACTGATGAAACCTGACCTAACCTAACTATTACCCATCTCCGCCTACGTTAAAATTCTGATTGAACTCGAGGTGAGTAGGATTAGAACCTATGCGGGAAAATCCCAACTGATTTCTAGTCAGACGCTTTAACTACTTGGCCATCACTGCTTACAACCTGTACCTTCTAGGTGATCAGACAGTCAAAGACTACAACACATAACCAAACGAAGCAAAACGGTGGTATCCCTCCGTCAAGGCTGAGGGATAATTCATTAGTACATCGAATCTGTCGATTTTCTTGATGACAGATGTAAGTAAGCAATTTTATGCTCATCTGGCACAGTATTGGTGTTAATGAAAATATTGAATGCATTTAATAAATAATCATGATGACGGATGAATGTTTCTCCTTTTAAGGAAAAGTTGATAATTTATTGATGCACTGCGTCTCCTCCAGAAGTTAACTCATCCTAACCTAGGATATAATTAACAGGATTAAAAGTAAAAAATGAATCATATCTCGTATGTATCATCTAGCTGTGTGGTTGTGCCCTGGGTGAGTTGTGAGATAAGCTGGGCTCAGTAGACCACATGAACACTAGCCTAACCTTTCTCTCGTCCCACCAACATACTGTAGATAAGACACATACCATACAACTTGTAGTGGCGAAAACTAAGTGGACAGGTGCTCAGGTCGCCCTCACAGCCAATAGCACTTGGCGCTCCCCTGCACTCCTCAGTGACACGCTTATGCAACTACGACAAACGTACGTTAGCTCGCCTCCTGCCAGCAGTGGCGCTCTTAATGGTAAGAATTGGGATGCTCTCCAATCAGCATTAGTACGCTTGTAGTAGCTATGTCAGACGAAAGTTAGCCTGCCTTCTGCCTGCAGTGGTGCTCTTTTATAGTGTCTTAAGAGCCTTTAGTGACAGGAAAATGGGTGCTGTGTGTGTGTCAGGCGAGGTCCACACAGTAAAATATGAACGGCGTCTTTCACACCCTGATATTGATACGACATCGGAATGCAGATTTCCAGAATGAATAATCTCGATGTTTGTCAAACTGGCGCACCTTGATCACCAATGAAAATGGCGAAAATATCGAATGTGTTCTGTGATTGGTCGAGCCAATCTAAATGAAAGAAAACGGAGAGGTTTCTGGTGTAGCTCCTTCATCTATCTGCGGTTTAAAGGCGCCGCGGAGCCCCGAGTGTTTGTGCGGGGACAAAAGAGGAGGTCCAGCCACTTCTTGCTTCCTCAGGGATAACCGCATGATTTATTATTATAAATCTTTAACTTAACCAACCAGCGCCTCACACTGCCATCCCCAGAAAAAGAAAACATTATTTGCGTATTATATGTTTAAGAGTATGATTATTCTAACCTAAAAAAAATAAGATGCAAGTTCACAGATAAATTTGGTCCTGCGGCTTTCCTCTGGGCGGTGATATTATTTTGGATATCCACAAGAATTATAGTCACAAATCCTAGAACCTGTCCATCTAGCTCAATGCACTTACTATCCAATAAATACTAAATATTAGTTGTCTCTAAATTCAAGAAAACGATAAGTTTGATAATTTCAAGAGATACGAAACAATAGAGAATGGGCGAGGCGGCGAGGCTTTGAGGGAGTTGGGGGTAGGGGGGTGTTGTGTGGTAGTGTGTGGGGAGTGAATGGTGGACAGGATGGTGGCTAAATACTACAAATTCTGGCGTGAAAGGCTTCAAAAGAACCTTCCCATGAACCTGTCACTGAGGCACCACCTTTATCTCTCGTCCACATAAAGCACTCGTCGATTTTTCCCTCGTTCTTGTGATCTGATTTTTTTTTTTTTTTGGTTTTCTAGCTTACTCTATCATATAATGTTATATTTAACATTTTCTTGTCTTTCATTCTTTATTGTGTAACACTTAATGTTTGTTGTTATAGTTTAATCCTTCTTATTCTTTTGTTTTTCTTTCTTTTGTCGTTCGTCTCCTTTCTTTCCTTTTTCGTGTTCCAGTTTACAAATTTTTATCTGCCATCATTAATTTTATTTCCCTCTTTTCTGTCTGATTGTCTGACTTCTCTCGTCGTTTCTCTTCTGTTTACAGTTCCATTTTTTTGTCCCTTGTTATCTATGTTTTTCTTTTGTTTACTCCTGTCTTCAGTCGCTCTTACAGTTTCTTTAATCTTCTGTATCATTTCTTCTTTATTTTATTCCTCTTTTTCGCGGTTACTTTCGTTTCTTACTTGATATATCAGTTTATTTTTCTTATAATCTAAATATTTATCTTGTCGCCACTCCATTACTGTCACGCTCGTGTTACTTTCGTTTTTTCTTGTCGTTGCTTCCCCGTCCGTGTCACACATGTGCTGATAATGGTGCCAGGTGTGACATGTGTTCATAACGACTCTTGGTGTTTCGTAAGTGTTCATAAGATTATCAGGACTCCCACAGGTTCTCATAATGATGCCAAGTGACTCACAGGTGCTCATGACTTCAGACAATTCAAAGGTGCTTATATTGACTCAAGGTGACTCACAGGTGCTCATAATAATGTCACGTGAATCACAGGTGCTCAAAATAATGCTAAATGACTCAGAGGAGCTCATAATGACACCAGGGGATTCACAGGTGCTCATAATGACATTAAGTTACTCAAATGACGTTCCCACGGGTTCTAGTAGGTTCCCACGGGTTCTAGTAGGTTCCCACGGGTTCTAGTAGGTTCCCACGGGTTCTAATAGGTTCCCACGGGTTCTAGTAGGTTCCCACGGGTTCTAGTAGGTTCCCACGGGTTCTAATAGGTTCCCACGGGTTCTAGTAGGTTCCCACGGGTTCTAGTAGGTTCCCACGGGTTCTAATAGGTTCCCACGGGTTCTAGTAGGTTCCCACGGATTCTAGTAGGTTCCCACGGGTTCTAGTAGGTTCCCACGGGTTAACATCAAAACATATAATTTTATATCTTCCAGATGAGTGAACCGTAAAGAAAGGTTCTGGGTTGTTTGTATAGTGAGTACACGGAGCGGTGAGGGGGAGGATGGGAAGATGAGGGATGAGAGAGTGGAGGGGGTGTGAGGGAGAGGAGATGAAGTAGGTGGGAGGGGGAAGAAAAAGAAGGAAATTTACACTTACATGTTAATTAATATTTTATAACTAAATGGAAATAGTCTTGAACTCTTATAATGTATCAGAGGAAATATGACTCAGCTAATTAACTTGGCTCTTATAAGAACACGGTTATGATGATATCCTGGCCAGCATTAACACGTGTAGTCATAATCTCTGCATTAGTACTAACTGGTAACATCCCCATGAGCACAATAACAATTAACCACAGCTTACCTTCTCGGCAGGACGTCAAAGGGTCCTTGAGTCCTTCCCTTCTTCCATTACCCTGTACCTAGAGGCTCATTACTCCTACGTCCGCCACTATTGACACCTCCACCGAGGCAGATAATGGGTTTGTTCCCATTGCCATACACAATATTGTCCATGCCATCTACCAGCTCCTGGACAATACGCCCCCAGCCTATGTATTCTATCCTTGTTATAAAAATTCTGATCCATATATCCTACCTATGAAGCACCAAATATTACCTTCATCAAAGTCATCCTTACCTTCTCCTTACGTCTTCCTTGAGAGGAAAACAGTTTGTATCCTTAAATGGTTCCGTCTTCTTTACTATCAGCCTTGTCACACTACTCAGCCACTTTACACAGCTGTTCCAGGCTGAGAGAAGGAGATTGGCTTCAGCACATGTAGTTATTGTCACTTTATCCTGACAATTGTCTGGGACACAACTTGCCTTGACAGAGGTTAGCGATCAACTGAAAGGGTAACGTGACTAACTTCAGCTACCATAATACTATACTCATCTCAATCATCATCTGCGTCACCATATGTCAACAAGAAAAAAAACAATATAGTGCGTAACTTTAGATTGATAAACATAGGCCATAATTATCATGGGACTAAAATACTATAAGCAAAGATGGAGTTTAACCGCACTGTTTGTAGTTAACAGTTTAACTTTTACTAATGTACCGTTATTTCCTCTTCAATTTAATATCCTTAGTTATAAAAACAATTTTATGGACATTTGTTATTTTTTCAATCTTCCCCTACATTTACTTCCTCCCGGAGAAATTATTTTTACCAGCTGTTATTTTGCTCCACAACATCGTCCCGCCTCATTTTCACACGAAATCTAGTGTTGAAAATGCACCACGAACAAGAATGCTATACCATTTTTTTTATTAAGCAGATGACTTCCCTTTTTTTCTATCTATAAACCGGATGACACGAACCATCCAAACCTACTCTAACTTAATAGAAATTACAATAGTATCCTTAGATTAGGTTAGATTCGTTGCTCCGTATTATCTAAAAAAAATGCTGTAATTTTGCTGTCCTGCGTCTACTAAACTGTTTTACACGGATCCAAAACGTTTGTATGAATATTTTTTTTCCGTTATGTGGGGACAAAAGAACGCTCTGAGTCACATGCTGTAGTTTCATCTTAAGTATCTTAAGTCCCTAGTTGTGGAAAAAAAATCAACATAGCTACGTGTCCTTGAACTCTGGGTAACACCGTAGAAATCTGTATTTTAAATTTTAGTGCTATAAATAATTACAAAAAATAAAGGATAATAAATCAGTTTACATATTTAAAATCTTAGATTTAATATTACTATTAATATAGAAAATTAACAGAACTACAGCGTGACTAAACTGCATTAGATAAGCATGAAGGCTTACTAAAACTATATACAAGTGACCAGCAGGGGCGGGTGACCTACACGGTGTGGAATGATGAAGTCAAAACGCTGTCGACTGATAACTTAAATTTAGTGAAAATTTATACAAAAGTTCTTTAAAATTATGAAACATGATGCGGAAGAGCAGTTACAAAAATAGGTGTAAGATTAACTTTATTTTTGTTAAGGCAACGTCGATATGTGGAGTGAAACAGGCAGGAAAGAGCTCATAGTCTGTATAAAAAGGTGTACTGAAATTGTGGCCACAGTTGGTATTAAAAATGTGTAAATAAGTGAGCTAATTAAAATATTATCTGTTTATTATTATTAGCAATGTTTGAAGAAATTATTCTCAATGTTTATACTTCATTTCACCACAGAACAAACATCGTGTCAACAGTTGCATGATGACATAACATTAGTTCTCTTGCTTAATGACGTACAGTATAAACATTAACAAGAACTCCTAAGCCATTCTGAGTGATGAAACAATGTTAAGTGTCATCTCGCCTGAACAATTACCGACAGAAACACACTGTGAGGCCAGAGACGTATTGAACATCTTTCAGAGTCAGTTTCCTCACACAGTACTTGTAGAAATATAGTGTAGAAACTGTAGAAGGAAGAGGAGGATAAGGAGAAGAAGGAAGGGGAGGATAAGAAGAAAAGGGAAGGGGAGGATAAGAAGAAGGAAGAGGAGGGTAAGAAGGAAGAGGAGGATAAGGAGAAGGAAGAGGAGGCAAAGGAGAAAGAAGATGAGGATGAGGAAAATAAGGAAGAAGAGGATAAGGAGAAGAAGGAAGAGTAGGATAAGGAGAAGGAAGAGGAAGTGGTTTAATACAAGAGAGAGAGAGAGAGAGAGAAAGAGAGAGAGAGAGTACTACACTACCAGCATAAATATTAGATATGATTTACAAATATATAAGTATACTTCACGCATCTATCTTATGTACAGACTTAACCTAAGACAAGGTGATTTATAATTAAAGATAGTTTCTGCCATACCTGTCTCACTGCTCATTGTCTCTCACTGCTTCTCATTGTCTCTCACTATCTCTCGCTGCCTCTCATTACCTCTTACTGTCTCTCACTGCTTCTTATTGTCTCTCACTGTTTTTCATTGTCTCTCACTGCTTCTCAATGTCTCTAACAGCCTCTCATTATGTTCCTCAGTACACAAGACACATCTGTACTACACTTCCTCATTCACAAAGTGGCTGAGAAATCGGACGGACAAGCAAGAAAAATAAACAATTAAGGTAACAGTTGAGTTTACCTCCTTGGGAAGCAGTATTATTCGCTCGGCACCCAAGGGAAGAGGGCAATGGAGCGGTGTACAATTATTTTTATGAAGTAATTTTATTAATCAGGTGTCGCTGTTCCTAGCATACACCAATATGTTATATACGATCTTCAACATCTATATCGGTAGCGTTTGGGGGAGTTAAAACAGACTCAAATAGACAGCTAAGTTTTGACGAGTTAGCGTAATGAGTCTGACAGCTAATTTTTGCTTAGACAGTTAAGTAAGAGTAAGATACGGTAGACACTCTTGGGTTTAATTTGGTGTTGGGATCCATTTTACTCTACAACATTCAACTCTTATACCTCACCTCAAAATAACGCCAATAGCTGCAGAAGGCGAGGGAAACGTTCGTCTGGCGTAGCGTCGAGAAGCGTGTCATTAATGGGACGGAGGTGAACGCCAGAAGCCGCTGGTCGCTTGTGTTGACGCTGGTCTATAGTACAGGCATATGCTTCTTTTACTCACCACTATGGCAATAATTGCATTTAAACCTCATCTTCGTAAAAAAGTTCACATTTTTTACGCTAAACCCTGTACAAAGGTTCACATTTTAAGTGAACACTGTACAGAGGTTCACATATCAATTAGTCGTTGTACAAAGGTTCATATATTTTACGCTAAACTCTGTACAAAGTTCACATTTTGTGCTAAACTCTATACCAAGGTTCACATTTTATGCCAAACTCTGTACAAAGGTTAACATTTTTAAGTGATCATTGTACAAAGGTTCAGACTGCAGATAGACACAAAGGTTGACCCATTTAACTTACACTGTTCATCTTACCATAACCTAAACTAACAATTCAAATAAAAATACAATACCTAAAATACTGTGTAACATTAGCAAATACTTGGACATAACAACACCTTTAAGAGAACAAGAATGATAAGGATGTCAGAATGATGATAAGCATGACAGTAATGGCAAAAATATATCCAATTTTATTGATTTGATATCAAGTTAGTCTTTATTGGTCAGTGACAACGTATGAAATATTTTCATTGGATGTTGACTTCAGGCACAAATGGACGTCAAGTTTTCATTGGTTATTCACAGTACAAGGAAGCGTCTTATTAGCTATTGATAACACTTGGTCTTTGACAATAAAGAAAGAGCGTTTTCGCGATATACTTTTTCCTTTATAAGCCGCAAAGGCCAGTGTGCTAAGTTATCTAACACACACACACAGTATTTCTTCTTATCACAAGGCACTAATATCTCTCAACCAGTTCCATCACAAGGTTTCTAACACGTGTATGCAAGGCAGCAATTTATGATGATGTCGTCACGTAAAGATAAGCATTACTGTACTTTAAATTATTCTTTTACTGATATTTCTACCAATATTTGTATTTTTCAGAATATGCAAATTTCCACTTTATAACATCACTCACAAAGGTTAGTCTTCTGCGATACCTTAACAGAAGGTGGTCAGGTCCTCCGGCTCGTCACAACACAGGTTAAGGGTCTCTCATGGTGACCTTGTTATGATATATCTATAGAACAAGATGGAATAAGAGACACTATTTGTTTATATCATTGTGTTCTCTACTGCTGCAGGGACGGTCGCCGGCAGGTAGGGACGGTCGCCGGCAGGTAGGGACGGTCTCCGGCAGGTAGGGACGGTCTCCGGCAGGTAGGGACGGTCGCCGGCAGGTAGGGACGGTCGCCGGCAGGTAGGGACGGTCGCCGGCAGGTAGGGACGGTCGCCGGCAGGTACAGATGGAAAAGTAAACTTGTTTTCTGATTTTTTTTCCTTGGGGCGGTGGGGGCAGTAGTGGGTGCTTGAGTTCATGAAGCCTTTACAAAAGTTCTTATTGATCTAGAATACTTAATACAGCTTGTCCCAGTTACAAGCTGGGAAATATAAGAATTTGTGTGCGAATATGTTGCTAAACGCACTAGTATGTTGGTAAACGCACGAGTATGTTGCTAAACGCACGAGTATGTTGGTAAACACTGGAGTAGCTAAGAGTGATTGAATCATTCTTCCGCTCTCACACACGACTTGCACTCTCCACAGTCCAGGTCAAGACTGTCTTCTACTAAGGCTAGAAAAGGGATAAAGGAGCCCCCTTGTGGTGCCGCAGCTGCTGGTTGAAGTTGGCAGCTGCGGCGGCCGCGGTATACTGTGTAGGGTAGTGGAAGGCCGCAGCCGCAGTCTTCATGGTGTCCACGGGGAAGTGCTGGCCACTCATCAACATCTCCCCACCGCTCATCATAGTGCTGGAAGGTAAACATGTTAGGAAATCAGTTCAGTGCTGAGGAAAACATGACATGTTCCTGGCGTCAATAATGAAACGCTTAATAAAACATATATAATATTTTATATAATCTACCTGCCATTAAAACCTTTAATAACCAGAGTCATGTGAAGGTGAAACATCCTCCCAGGTGTGACTTGGTAGACAAGAGAGGGACATAACTCACTCAAACATCAAGAGGAAACATGGCAGAGATCAGCTTCACACTTCATCATCATCATCATCATCTAAACCCACCATTTGTATCCTTGACTGAGCTCTTAGTGTCGAGGATAGTTAAAGCACCATCCTCTGAGATATTTTTAACCTTAACCTTTTAAATCTTTGGACGGTTAAACCATCGTCCACAAAGGGTTAACTCATCGTCCGCAAAGGGTTAACTCATCGTCCTCAAACGATTAAATCATCGTCCTCAAAGGGTTAACTCATCGTCCTCAAAGGGTTAACTCATCGTCCTCAAAGGGTTAACTCATCGTCCTCAAAGGGTTAAATCATCGCCCTCAAAGGGTTAACTCATCGTCCTCAAAGGATTAAATCGTTGTCCTCAAAGGGTTAAGTCATCATCCTCAAAGGGTTAACTCATCGTCCTCAAACGATTAAATCATCGTCCTCAAAGGGTTAACTCATCGTCCTCAAACGATTCAATCATCGTCCTCAAAGGGTTAAATCATCGTCCTCAAAGGGTTAAATCATCGTCCTCAAAGGGTTAACTCATCGTCCTCAAACGATTAAATCATCGTCCTCAAAGGGTTAACTCATCGTCCTCAAAGGGTTAACTCATCGTCCTCAAAGGGTTAACTCATCGTCCTCAAAGGGTTAACTCATCGTCCTCAAAGGATTAAATCATTGTCATCAAAGGGTTAACTCATCGTCCTCAAAGGATTAAAACATCACCATTATCATCAAAGGGTTAACTCATCGTCCTCAAAGGGTTAAATCAGTTAGTCAGATAGATACGTTCTTACACCTCCAGTTATGAGGGAAATTCAACTTAGGAATCTTTGAGTATTTGACCCATAACAGAAGGGAAGACTTACCTGTAGTTGTCGTAAGGTATGTGATGGTGGGCGTGGTGATGGGCGCCCCATGCCTCACTGGTCTTAGCGTGGAGGCCGGGGGTCCAGGCGGCCGCCTCGCTATGATGTCCCCCAGAGGCCGCCAGTGTGTTGGAGGCCGAGTAGTCTGTAGCAGAGGTCCCGTGGCCACCCAGGAGGCCGCCATTACCTGACCCTGAACCTCCTGCTGATGCACAACACGGAGTTAATGTACTCTCACTTTACTCGAGTTGCTTATCTCTTACTCTGGGAGCTCTAGCTGATGATTACTTACTCAAGTTCATCTCTCTCCTCACTCTAGTTCCTCCCTCCTTACTCTAGTTAATCCCTCCTTACTCTAGTTCCTCCCTCCCCACTCTAGTTCCTTCCTCCTTACTCTAGTTTCTCCCTCCTTACTCTAGTTCCTCCCCCTTACTCTAGTTCCTCCCCCCTTACTCTAGTTCCTCCCTCCTTACTCTAGTTCATCCCCCCTTACTCTAGTTCCCCCCCCTTACTCTAGAAAGACAGAAAGACAAGTAGACAGAGAGAGGGAAACAAGCAGACAGAGAGACAAGTAGATAGATAGATACAGAGAAAGTAGGGACAAGAGACAGAGAAATAAGTAGAAAGAGAGAAAAAGAACAAGAGACTCACCCTGCAGTAGAGACCCGTGGGTGCCGGAGGTGAAGAGAGAACGATGGACATCAGAAGGGGTCTGGAGGCTGTTGTTCCTGCACTGGTTCATACCACGTTGACGTCTCCTGAAGAACAATGATACACTACAGAGTCAGTACTAGAAGGGGTGGGGAGTAGGGGTGGGGAGTAGGAGGGGTGGGGGTAGAAGAGTGGGGATGGGTTTCTCCCCTCAGATGGAAAAACCTGACAGATCTGATGTCTAACTCACCGTGGGCTTGATGGGCGGCTGCGTGGGCGTGATCGTGGGCGGTGTAGTGGTGGGGGGCAGCACCCATGGTAGTGGAGGCGGTGGTGGTGGCGGCCGCCGCGTGGGAGTGGGCGACTGCGGCGTTGGGTGCTGGATGGAGAGTGGGCGGGAGGGCGGCAGGGTAGGTAGAGGTGGTCATGGCCAGGGCGTTGAGGGCCGTCACGCCCATACCCTGACCTGTCATCTGTTTACGCCAGCGAGCCCGTCTGTTGCTGAACCACACCTGCCGGGAGACAACAGCCGTTAACAGAGAGAAATAATGACTTTTAGGGGATAGAGACAACGATCAACAGAGGAAAACCAGCCGTTAACACAATGAAATAATATTAACAGTAAGGGACATTGGCTGCTAGTTGGAGAGATAAATACTTTTAGTTAGAGAAGGGAGGAGCTCTGTGAGGGGTGAGGCGGCCATGATTAGTGAAGGGTGAGGTGAGGGGTGAAGGGTGAGGTACTTTGATAAGTGAGGGGTGTGGTGAGGGGTGAAGGTTGAGGGACCTTGATAAGTGAGGGGTGCGGTGAGGGACCGTGGGTAGTAAAGGGCGAGGTGAGGGGTGAAGGGTGAGGGACCTTGATAAGTGAAGGGTGAGAGGCCAGTGTCCGAGGGGAGGGAAGGGGGGGGGCTTATGAGGGGTGGACGGGGAGGCCTTCATACATCACTGTCTTTTCTGTCTTCCCATCCGCCCTTTGTCTCTACGTCTGTACTCTGTCTCTTCCCGTCTACTCCTCTCTCTATTACATTACCGTCTCACACCTGAGAGAGGAGTCAACTCTCACCTGGCCTCCGTCGGCCTGGTTCTGTGCTAAGGCCTCCCCTCTACAGACCTTCGGGAATTGGATATTTTAGCATGATGTCTTCCCCATCTGCTTTCATCTCCATCCCTTTAGTGTAAACAAGCGGGTACTGTACTAACTCTGTCCATAGTCCGTTTGTTTCTCTCACAACAGTACAGGAGGAGACTCACCTGCACTCTGGCCTCCGTCAGCTTGGTCCTCTGTGCCAGCTCCTCCCTGGTATACACATCTGGGTATTGTGTTCTCTCAAAGGCCCTCTCAAGTTCCTCCAGCTGCTCGGCAGTGAAGGTCGTTCTGGAGCGTCTCTGTTTACGCTTGATGGGGATGCCCGGCTCGCTTTCCGTGTCGCTGTCAGAGATGCTGCCTCCTCCACCGCCTGCAGGTAAGACCAACATCTGCCGGTCACCATCTGTGGCCGTAGTAGGGGGTAAAGTCATGACCCCGTGAGAGGGTTTTATAAAGGGTGATGTGGAGGTGTTTTTTATTTTAACAATGGATAATATATATTGAGTTGTTGGTCATGATACAGATATGATTAGTTGATATTTTCTTTATTTTGTTTTTCTCACGTTCTCTCTTTACACACACACACACACACACACACACACACACACACACACACACACACACACACACACACACACACACACACACACACACGGAGAACGACAGGTGGACGTCATGACCCACCGTCAGTAACAACACTGATGAAAAGACAACTTATACAAATAACAGGTAACACACAATGGATCTTATTATTAAAACACGGAAGCCTACAGGTGACCCCCCCACACACACACACAGACAGTTGGGCAGCGCAGCCATTATAGACCACCACCAATACTACTGTACCCATAAAAAATTGGCCAGACAATACAATAGGTAGATTACACGTGTAGAAAAGGAGTCAGCAGTGAGAGCCAAGAGAAGGTTAATTATGTCATCCAAAGAAAACGAGGAACCATTGTGTATGGTTGTCATTATAGAAAATGGGAACCTAATATAATAGAAAACGCGAAGTGACGAGTACTTATCCCTCACAACTGATACACTATTAAGAACACGTATGGACGAAAGGACGGCATCTATTCGTATATCCGTCGGGGGATGGTAAACAAGGAACAACACTATCAGTCAGGTCAGGAAGGTAAGAGCAGAGATGAAGAACAACAAGCGCACGTATGACAACAATAACAAGACTACTTTTTATTTTATTTTCTTAGTCTTCTAAAATCTGATTTTGTCTCCTCTTTCCCCTTCACTTCCCCCTCCCTCATCTTTTCTCCCCCCCCCCTACCTCCCCTAACCCCCACTTCCTTCCATATCTTACCCCTAATTCTTTCCTTCCCATCACCTCTTCTGTCACCTCCCCCTCCTCCACTTCCCCCACCTCCTTCCCCACCTTTCCCCAAGAGACAAGCATCTAATAAATTTTGAGTACAGTAACATGATAATTTATCCCGACAACCAGATATAACTCTGGCTGGTAGCATGAAGACTGCTGATGCTGCATGAACAAAGATCTGTGTTGATAAGATGTTATAGAAAATAAAAATATATAAAATGGAGAGAGAGAGAGAGAGAGAGAGAGAGAGAGAGAGAGAGAGAGAGAGAGAGAGAGAGAGAGAGAGAGAGAGAGAGACCATAATCCCTCGACACTTAAAATTGAAATAATATTCAATGGATTGTGATGATAGTGGAGGTGGCAGCTGTTACCAACGACCACCAGGCACAGCAGCACCATGATGGCACCGTCCCGCTGGTCACATCATTACTGAAGTATTGAAGAAGTGAGAAGTTATCTGTGGGAGAGTTGAGTGGCCGGGCTCAGGGCGGGAGATAGTCTCAAGAGGTAATCAAGATGTTGTTAATTCTAAGAAGGTGTGAGAGGGAGGTTGGTCGCCGCCTTGGTACCACTGTCGAGGACGACCTGGAGAGCGCTATTAGGAAACACTAGGGAGGCCACCAGGTACCATTGTTACCAATGATACCACCTGGGACAACACCGTGCTAATCCCCTCCTGTGCTGATAAGGCGAGAATCACTTACGTGAGTCACCCAGCAGAGGACCTTATGAGGGGGTGGTGGCGTTTACACCTTTCATGTCCTGACCCACACAAATGCCGCCACCATTGTTATAAATGATCCAGTCGGAGCAAGACAGTGCTAATCACCTCATGCGTAATGGGTCGACAATCACGTCCTTAACCCTCCCTCTGGACTCCTTACGGTGGGTCGGGGGTGGGTTCCCTGGTTCTCTCACAGCCACAAATGACTCGTTGTGGTGTGGGTGGGTCGTGGTGGGCTGGACGTGCTGTTGGTATTGACACGCTCATTATGTACCAATTGCAACTAATGTATTGCACGATAATTTATGCAACGACTCATCTGTTACCCGTGTGGGAGGGGGAAGCCTCTGTGTACATGTGTGTGTGTGTGTGTGTATGTCTCTGTATGTATGTATGTATGTATGTATGCATGTATGTATGTATGAGTGTTCTTTTGTTGCTATTCAAGCTCTTGTGTTTGTGTTGTTGTGTGTTTGTTCACGATGTGCGGTGTTGTTCTTAACCTAACTTAACCTAACTTAACCTAACCTAACTTAACCTAACTTAACCTAATATTAACCTAACTGAAACTACCCAACCTGATTAAACCTAACCTAATTCACCTCTAATTTAATTAACTTTAGTTTAATAAAAATAATTATCATAATCTGAAAAACTTACAGAGAGAGAGAGAGAGAGAGAGAGAGAGAGAGAGAGAGAGAGAGAGAGAGAGAGAGAGTAGTATTGTGGTGGGTAAGTGTCATCACGATGATAAATTATCTGGCCACACACCTCTCCCCCCCCCCAGGGTACAGGTGTTGTATCCTCACTGTCTAAGGGAACCTCTTGCATACTACTACTTTTAATAGTATGCTAGTAAAAATTTAATATTAGTCATAACAATAACAGTAATAATAATAATAATAGTAATAATAATAATAATAATAATAATAATAATAATAATAATAATAATAATAATACCATTACCACATATAAAGAAGCCATATAATTAAATAAATACAATAACAAATCGTTAAAACGTGTCCATAACATTGTTGAGGAAATATTACAAGTTTGGTTGTGTTCCGTCAAGCTGCCGTCTGTGAGTTCACTACTTACTGCAGCGTCCAGGTCACCTTAATCTCCTGTTACCTGTACTGCATTATGGTCAGGTTATAGTGGAGAGAGAGAGAGAGAGAGAGAGAGAGAGAGAGAGAGAGAGAGAGAGAGAGAGAGAGAGAGAGAGAGAGAGAGAGAGAGAGAAAGATGAATAAAGATCAAGAAAGTTGAAATCATCGGAAGTAGAATTAGAGGAAAATAAGATGCAGAAAAGAATGGTTATCTCAATAGTAGAGTTAACTATAGAGAGATAAAGGCGAGGCAGGGGAGAAGAGGTCAAGTTGTAACAGTTCTTGGTGTTGTTTGTGACTAAAGACGAGAGAAAAGACCAGGAGAAGATATACACATGTAATATTCCACGTAGAAGAGATAATAAGTGTAGAGGCCATGAACGTTGCAGATAATCAGATGCAATGACGGAGCCAGAGTCACACATTAAGCTGGAAGAGTCAGTTCACATCCCGGAGAGTGTACGAGGAGCCCCTTCCCGAGAACCACTCAAGCCAGTTACTGAAGTCTGCTGTGTCATGGCTTGGGTGGGGGAGGGGGGGGGGGTATGATGAGTGTTAGAGAGGGAGAATGGGTGTGGCTTTCTTGTGCTGGGCGACTTGGGAAAGACTTAAGCTTCACCCCAACACGTGGCGAGTGAGTGTGATTAGGTGGAGGAGGCGACGTGAAGGACAACAGTACAATAGCTTGAGGTGTGGACATAGTAGAGGACCGCACAGGTGACCACGTCGAAAATATGAGAATATCATCATTATTTCGTTTGGTAAACCTTCTAATACCACATCAATGTCCGAGGGGCCACAACTCTGTACAATAATGATACAAAATTCTGATAATCAAATTCATCTAAGATCTTGTCATGGTAAATTTACACAGCAAATTTGCTTAAACTCCACTTCTATAAACTTAAGTTATCATGTTTACAGCTCCTGATGGGACAGAGAGACAGATAGACAGACACACAGACAGTATTACCCTCTGCCCCTCCCCATCCAAGACGGCGGAGGGAAGGGTGGGTGAGGGGGGGGGGTGGGAGAAGCGTTCACGCATCCTCTACATGTAGTATTCTGAACACAAACGGGTTCATGTAAGGCAGAATAACAACGATTTAATTGAGTTATTTTTCTTTCAGCTTCTGTCATGGATATTCAGGCGGCGTCCACAGAGCAGGTCATTACCATCAGGACCTACTGTATGTTAATAAATTGTCCCCCCTTGAGAGAATTAACTACCCCAACTGCTTAGTAACCCCGTTCGGTACACACACAAACAAGGTGGTTGTCCTTACGTCTGGCAGCTAACTAACTACGACCAGTCATGTTGTCATGTGCTATGTTGTCTTCTTGTTAGTGTCACTGTTATTGTTATGTTGTTATGTGTTATGGTGAGCTCTTGATATTGCCACTATTACTGTTATTGTTGAAAGTATAACATCGCCACTGTTTTGCTGTACGAATATTATCATCACAGTTAATGTTAAAAGAATATTATTACACGTATCTCACCACCTAAAAGTTATCACCATTACATCACAACTACCAACCATCCGCCACACAATAAACAGAGTTGTCAACCCATACATGTAAGAATCACAGACATCTACCCTGAGTCCACCCAGCTGTGAATTGGCCTAACTTTACAGATGAGGAAGTAAAAAGATGTCAAGTGCAGTGCCAGCCATACCAAAAAATAGGGTAAGTCTATAGTGCGCTGTATCCCACTGACCCTAATAGGTCGCCAAGCGTACAGGACCTACTTTCACTTTTTACCCATTGGTTTTTATCCCATTCCTATTTACATGTAAAGAGAGAGACAGACAAACACACGAATACTGATGACAACGCTACGCTTTGGAATACCTGAATGGGTTAACCTAATGTAGCAGGATCAGGGGCCAAATTTTTATGCTAAAACAGCGAATTTGGTCTGGATACGTTCAGACTAGTGGTAGGTTAGGTATGGTTTGGTTAGGTTAAGTTTGGTTGTGTTAGGGGTTGGTTAGGTTAAGTTAGGTTGTGTTAAGGGTTAGTTATGTTAAGTTAGGTTAGCTAGGCGTGGTGTGTTTTGGTTAGTTCCGGGTTCGGGTTCAGAGATCAATGAATCCCTCTACACAAGCCTCTTATGAGTATGGTGGGTCAGGGGATCAGATCTTGAACCATCCTAGGTGTAGTAGAACTGATGTTATATACTGAACGGTGATTGTGATGACTACTGGGTTATTATTGTTATTGTT